CCTCCCAGCTCCCGCCCCCCCCAGGCCTTCAGCTCAGTGTTGTCTGTGTCCATGGACTACACATTTATGCATATAAGTTCTTTGGTTAACCTCTTCCGCTCCCCACCCCCCACCCTTCCCACTGAGAAATGTCAGTCTACATGTGTGTTTAAAACGTGTGCACAGAAATGGCACTGATGCACAAGTGCTTTCAACAGTGTGACTGAACATTTAACATTTGGACACCTGTGTGCCAGTCACTGAGCTGAAACAGCCTGAAACAAGCATGATGTGTCCCTGCCTTTGAGGTATTTAAAGATTAGGACAGTCTAGAGACAAAATATCTTTCTTATTAAAAAGTAATTATGAATTATAGGTAAGTCCTCAGACCACATACTGTAATTTCCATCTTAAAATGAATGTGGCTATTTAAGCATGGTCAACTACTTTCCTGAGTAATATTCAAGTTTCTTTTACATCCATGTGTGAGTTATGAGTCCATGAATATTTCCTGAATTGCCCTGGTTTGATGTGCCAGTTTGATGACAGAAGAGAATTTGGCTAAGCCAGGGCATAGATGGATCCAAGAGGGTAGGTGTGAAAGGCAAAAAGATATGCCTGAAAAAAAAAAAAAGAAGAGAAATGAGTGACAGATACAAGTGCTCTAAACAGCTACTAGGGAGGCCAAAATGAAAAGAGAATAGAAATGATTTCTAGGGTCAAAACCAGGGGCGCCACCAGCAATGAGGGTAGTGTCTACTCTCCCCCAAAGTGCTGGAGGAGTGCTTGGACTGCACGTGGGAACACACGTGTCTCTTCCAGAACCCCAAATGGATGGCCAGAAAGTGGTCTGAGGAGCTGCCCACTCCAGAGCCCAGGGGTTGGTGGAGCAATCTATGAAATAATGGGCTTGGCACTTCCACGATGTGACTGGTGCAACACCTGAGGCAGGAAGGCTGTGCAGGACAGACCTAGGGTTCCGTGTTGTTCCCAGGCTGAGTTAACTGACCTACAAGACAGGACAGTATTAGGCGGGAAGTGAGGTATGGAACAGTGCTTGATAAAAAGCTACAGCTAGCAGGTGGGCACTGCGCAGGCCAGAAAGCCTGAGCCAGTGCCTGCAATAGAAGTGCGCCCCCCTCCTTCCACACACCGTATCTATACTTGACGAATTCTTCCTTCAGGATCACCTCAATCCAACCTTCTTTCTGAACCTCTCGGTCATTTGGGGGATAGGAGTGAAGGCCTGACTGGCCTAGGAAATAATTTCTAATTGTTCTTGAAGACAGGGCTAGATCCTTAGTATCAGAGTAGTCCTGGCCTTGTAAAGTGAGTTTGGAAGTGTTTCCACCTCTTACATTTTTGGGAGTTTGAGAAAGATTGGCATTAATTCTTCTTTAAGTGTTTGGTAGAGTTGATCAGTGAAGCCGTCTCTCTGGTACTGGGCTTTTCTGTGTTTGGAGATTTTTGATTACTGATTCAATCTCCTTACTCGTTTTTGGCCTGTTTAGATTTTCTATTTCTTCCTGATTCAGCCTTTTTAGATCATATGTTTCTAGGAATTTATCTTTTTCCTGTAGATTAAGCAATTGGCAAATGCTTGTTCATAGTAGTGTACTATATATTTCTGTGGTATCAGTTGTAATGTCTCCTCTTTGATTTCATTTATTTGAGTATTCTCTCTTTTTTTTTTCTTACTCTGCCTAAAGGTTTGTCAATTGTGTTTATCTTTTCAAAAAAACCAGCTCCTTGAAGCTAAGAGAAGTTTGTTATTGGTTTCTAGTTTCATACCATTGTGTTTGGAAAAGATACATGGTATGATTTCAGTCTTAAATTTTCTAGCACTTGTTTTGTGGCCTCTCAGTGTTTTTATGTTCATTGTTTCAAGACAATTTCATTTTTCAGTTTCTCTTTCACCCATTGGTTGTTCAGGAATTTGTTGTTTAGTTTCCATGTGCTTGTAGATTTCCCAGCTTCTTCTTGTTGATTTCTAGTTTCATACCATTGTGGTTGGAAAAGACAGATAGCATGATTTCAATCTTCTTAAAATTTCTAAGACTTGTTTTGTGGCCCCTTTACCCTTGGTATTCAATGATCTACCCTTGGGAATGTTCCATGTGCGCTTGAAAAGAATGTGTAGCTGCTGCTGTTGGATGCAAAGTTCAAAGCCCTAGCTTATAGCAAGGCTCACAATTTCTGTGCAACCACCCTCCCTGGAGGTTTCCCCGCCTCGGAGCCAGGGCAGTCTTAAAACACTTCATGAAAACAGCTTCTTCAGATTTTCCTGCAGCATTTCTCTCTATAAGGTTCACCTATAGCCCATGAGGTTAAAAAGAGGCAAGAAACCAGCCTGTCCTTTCCATTGTCAATCAGCCCATTCTCTCCACCAGCTACTTACTGCACAAACTTCTTCTATCATCTAAGTGCACAAAAACCCTAAAGGAATCAGTCTTCAGTTTCTCAAGGTTCATCTGTTTTCCAAAAAAGGCCAGGCATGTACATGCATGTATGATCCAACTTGAGGAAAAATACCCACAGTATGCTTGTGATATATACATCTTTGGAGAATATTTACGTTCTTAGGAAATAGAGTTATATTTTGTCACTCAAATGGAAATTTGAATTTACATGGGGTTTTGTGATTTTTATTTCCATTTGTTTCCCTCTCTCCTTTTCTTTCTCCAGTTAGGATCCCCTGAATATTCTGCTTCGTTGCTATATCAATAATTACTACTAGGAGGATAACAAAAGGTATTTATATCTGAAAATTAAAGAGTACGTTTTGTGTATTACATTTTTAAAGGTAGAAGTTTCTAAGTTTGAAGATTTGGAGGAAGTTAGCGCTGAAGTGAAGCTCAAACAATTGCTCTGGGATTCTTTGTCTGAATGGGATCAACTCCAACAAGATTGGTTGAAGGTAAAAAAAAGCTCTCAATTCTTAAATTATTTTTGTTTTAATGAAACTTAATATCCTAATGATATAAATTACAATTTTTTAACAGTCTGGTATATTTTTAATTTCGGTAAAATATGCAACGTTATAATGTTATGGGAATTACTATAATTTTTCCAGTGAAAAGCACAAAGGTCTTTCGGTCACTGTATGCCACAGCAGAATGCATTGTCTCAGGCCCTGCATTTAAGGCTAGAAGAAGAGAGCATCGGAGGACCTTTACTGCTTTGTAGGTTTTGAACCAGTGTTGTTATGATACACTACACCCAAGTGTTCTTGAGGATTGTGGGTTTTTATTTGTGATCTATACACTTTGGATTTCTGTTAGCTTAGGTTCTGTTCTTACTGTCCTTTGAGGAAAAAAAAAGAAGCTGTTTTGTTCACTGTAATAAGGTAGAATCAGAGAGCTCAAAAGTAAATTCTCCTAATTAGGGGGCCAAGTAGCATTTGCTGTCTAGGGTCTACCTTTATATTCAAACTCAACAGGGGTCAGCACTCTAAGAGGCAGAACAGATGACCATCTATACTTTGAAGTGCGACATGGACGTGTTAGAAATGCCGTCAGCTTGTGCGATATCTGCAATTAGAAGTCATAGGTCGGAGTTAAATAACAGGGACATGGAAATGTTCCCCAGATAAGGCTCTAGCTGCTGGGGATACCAGTGTTAAAGGACAAAATCCAAACCCTGACAGGACTTACCCTTGGGGAGGAAAACAGAAAACTAACAAATATCTGCTCTGCTGTAATATCAGAGACTTCTTTGTTTAAGATATATTTTTACTGGTTTCACAGAGAGGAAGGGAGAGGGAAAGAGAAAGAGAAACATCAATGGTGAGAGAGTCATTGACCGGCTGCCTCCTGCACACCCCCTGCTGGGGATCGAGCCCACAACCTGGGCATGTGCCCTGACCCGGAATCGAACCTGCATCATATATAGGTCGATGCTCATCCGCTGAGCCACCCCGGCCGGGCAATATCAGAGACTTAAAAGTGCTCTTGTGTAGCCCATTTATCACTTATCTCAGAAGTAGAAGCTCCTGAGGGAAAAACAAGGAGCTTAGAGAGTTTTCTGATTACTCAGATGAGAACAGCAGCTTCCAAAGTGGCATGAATTCACCATACAAAATGCACAAAAAGACCCATTAGGGGTAAGAAATAAAATGTTGAACCTGGGAAAAAAATGAAAGTTTTACAAATATTCTGTTGACTTCAGTTCATATGACCACCTGGCATTTTAATGTGTGTGTACATTTATATGTTTATATAACTAAGAAATATATTTATAGATGCATGCATATTGGGGGGGCATCTTTACATCTTTTATATTAAATGGGTGCATGATCAGTACAGCATGTGGTGATGTGGGATACAACGACATGAAAGGAATGACATGCCTTATAGACTCTTGGCAATCTTACTAAGTAAAGCCATTTCCAAAAGTATAGCATTGACTCGGATTAACAATTTTACTACTGGAAAATCTGAGTAAACAACTTCACTGTTCAAGCTTGCCTATTATCATATATCTTAACTTCTTTTTTCCCCTCTAATTTTCATAGTCCAAATTTGACTGCCTCGATCCAGAAGCCCTAAACAGTCAAGTTTCTAAATACACCAAATTTGTGACTCAATTGGAAAAAGGCTTGCCACCCAACAGTGTAGTGCCCCAGCTAAAAAGTAAGGTGGAAAAAATGAAAGAAAAGGTAAGTTTGGTAAAAATTATTTCAAAAACTCCAGTCAATAAGTTACTGCTTGATGCTAGTGATACTGATGTTGGAAATGTCCCTGTTTAAACTAGTCAGCTCTGCACAGAGAGAGGAAAGAACAGACAAATTCCGTTTTTGCAGAGGGCATCCGTGTCTGCAACTGGCTGAGTCATGCAGCTGAGTACCATGGTTGGAAGAGGCGTGCAGAGGGAAAGTTTCCCAAGTGGTAGGGGAAACAGTGCAGGGGTGGGTTGTAGTTGTGCCAAGATACCAATCCACTCAGCCTACAGACAGCCAGACGAGGCTAGGGCAGCCTTGTCCATTTACACCTCTGCACCAACAAATATGCCATTTTTTCAGACGCACCCTGATGGGAGGCACATCACAGTTGGGAAGCCCGGCAGTAAGTGTGCAGGGCTGGCTCTTGAAACATGTCTCCGCTAAACTAGCACTTGAAATGGGAAGGAAATGATTTTTATTCTTTGTTTTAAAATCCTCACCCAAGGAGTGAGGCTATTTTTCCCAATGATTCTTAGAGAGAGTGGAAGGGATGGGGGAGGAGAGAGAGTGAAACATCGATGTGAGAGAGAGATAGCAATTGGTTGCCTCCCACAGCCCAGGTAACCCTTGACTGGGAGTGGAACCCAAGACCCTCAGTGTGCAGGCCAGTGACCCACGTTGTCCAGGGCCATTTTTATTCTTTTAAGCAAAAAAGAAAGGGCTAAAAGAAGACATGAGTAGAAAGGGTAAGCAAAGCTTCGGCACAATGAGAAGCGAATGTTCCCCCTTGAAAAGAGTGTCCCTGCGGTTTTTTCTCCTTGAGCCTTACAATATCCACTCAAAACAGTTCTCAAAAGTTACTTATGTTAGCTTCTTTATTGCCTTTAGTGTGCTTACGACATACAATTGTAAACAAATTCACTTGTCACGGTCTGCATTCCATCTTTTGGTCCTTGGAAGTCCTGGTTGGATTTTTTTAATCTTGCATACAGTAAAAGTCATTTTTTTGTGGTGTACAGTTGTATGGGATTCTGCGAATGGGAGGAGTCGCATGTCCAACACAACACTGCTGTTCAGAATACTTCCGTCATCCCCCGGATTCCCTTCTGCTGCCCCTTTGTAGTCACTCCACTTTCGGTCCCAACCCCAGGCAGCCACTGATCTGGTTTCCTTCCCTACAGCCTTTCCTTTTGCAGAATATGATATGAATGGAATGATACAATGTGGAGGCTTTGGGGTCTGGTCTTATTCACTGAGAAAAATGCATATAAGATAAAAATAAAAAGACAAAAAATCCCTTTAAAAGGAGCAAAAGATTTGATAGACATTTCCCCAAAGAAGATATATAAAAAAGATGCTGAACATTACTAGTCATCAGGAAAATACAAATTAAAGCCATGATAAGATACCACTTTGGACCCACCAGGATGGCTGTGATCAGAAAGACAGATTGTAGGCGAGGATCTGGAGAAACTGGAAGCCTCGTGTTTCTGGTGAGATTGCAAAGAGGTACAGCCTCTTTGGAAAACAGTTTGGCAGTTTCTCAGATGTTAAGCGTAAAGTTAACATATTACCAAGTCACTCCACTCCTAGGTATATACCTAAGAGAACTGAGAACATGCTCACACAAAAATTTGTATATGAATGTTCATAGCAGCATTATTCATTATTCATGCCAAAGTGGGGGAGAAATAAATGTTCATCAGTCAATGAATGGACAAAGTGTGGTATATCTATACAGTGGGATACGACTCAGCAATAAAAATGAATAAAGTAGGAATATATGCTACGGCATAGACGAACCTTGAAAACATTGCACTAAGTGAAAGAAGCCAGTACGAAGAAGAATACGTAGCACATGGTGTCATTGATAAGAAATGTTTCGGATGGAGTCCATAGAGAGAGGAGGAGATTAGTGGTTACCAGCCACTGCAGGGAGGGAGAAATGGGTAGTGATAGTTAATGAGTATGGGTTTCCTGCCCAGCCAGCGTGGCTCAGTGGTTGAGTATTGACCCATGAACCAGGAGGTCATTTCGATTCCCGGTCAGGGCACATGCGGGGGTTTCATGCTCAGTCCCAGTGGGGGCCATGCAGGCAGCAGCCAGTCATTGACTCTCTCATCATTGATGTTTCTCTCTCTCCCTTCCTCTCTCTAAAAAAAAAATCAGTAAAAACATTTTTTAAAAATGAGTATGGTTTTCCTTTTGGGGTGATGTAAATTAGATAGTGGTGATAATTGCACAACTCCGTGAATTAAAATTTTTTTTAAAAAAGATTCCTCCATGTTGTTACATGAAGCAATAGTTGATTAATTTTTATTGCTGAGTAGTATTCCGCTATGTAGATTACCACAGTTTGATTACCTAATGTTTTTGCTAATGTTGTCATGTGTTTTTTTTATATATATACTGCAAACACAACACAGTGTCATTATTTTTGTTTTATATAGTTATCTTTTAAGACAATACAAAAGGAAATTTAAAAAATTATTTTACCTTTATTCCATTTCCAGTGTTCTTTATTTCTTTGTATGGATCTAAGGTCCTGGCTCATAGCATATTCATTCTGTCTGAAGAACTTTCGTTAATGTTTCTTATTGAATAGGTATGCCAACAATGAAGTCCCTAAACTTTTGTTTTGAGAAAGTCGTTATTTGTTTTATTTTGAGTGGTATTTTCACGGGGTATATAATTCTAAACTGACTAGTTTCGTTTTGTTTTTTTCTTACTTGTATGGTTTCTAACAAGAAATCAACTGCAATTCTTTTTCTTGATCTTCTGTGGATAACGTGTTTTTTTTGGTCTGGCTGCCTTCCAGATTTTATCTTTTCCTTGATTTTTGGCAGTTTATAATGCAATATGCCTAGGTATGTGTTGGTTTGCTTTTTTATTTATTTATATTTATTCTACTTGGTGTTCTCTGAGTTTATTGGATCTCTGGTTTGGGTTCTGTCTTTAATTTTGAGAAAAAATGCAGCCGTTATTTCTTCAAATATCTCTTCTGCTCTGTTTTCTTTCTCTTATCTTTCTGGAATTTTTATTACATGTGTTTTAGACCATCTAATATTGTGCCACAGCTCTTGCATGTTCTGTTATGAGTTTTTTCAGTGGAGGAAGGGAACACTAATTTTTCTCTTTGTGTGTCAGTTTGGGGAATTTCTACTCATTTACCTTCAAGTTCACTGATTCCTTAGCTGTTTCAAGCTCATCAAAGGCATTCTTTCTCTTACTTTCTTTTTTATATCCAACATCTGTTTAATTATAGTTTCCATCTTCCTATTAACATTTTCCATCTGATCTTACATGTTGTCTACCTTTTCTGTTAAAACAATTAACATATTAATCACACTTATTTTATATTCCCTGTCTGTTAATTCTAAAACATGTGTCATATCTGAGTCTGGTTCTGATGATTTTTTGTCTCTTGGGTATATGTTTCTCTTGCCTTATAATATACTTCTTAAATTTTGGTTACAAACCAAATATATTATATTTTATGTAATATAGTAAATAACGCCTTTCCTTCCACTTGGCTTTTTGTGTGGCATGCTACGTTAAACCTAGCTTGGAACTGGGGTAAATTTGAGGTTTGATGATCCTATAGTTATCCTCAGTATACCACAGCCTTTAAATTGTCCCAGTGATACCTTGTGCTTACAGTTTGATCTGGTTTGCCAAAGATCATTGCTTCAATTTCTGTTTTCCCCGGACCTTGTGGCCTCCCTTTGTGTTATGCCCAGAAAGAATCTCTCTTGCAGCTTTCCACTCTGTATTTTACTGTTTTTTTCCACTTAATACTAGTTAACCTGGTAGGAGAAATGAAAAGGGGCATTCCCTCATATTCTGATTAAATCTCTATCGTAACAAGGCATTGTGTCCCTTGTTCTCAGGATTCTTACCTTCGCAGGTATTCCTTCCTGTTCTCCACCAGTAGTAACGAGCCTAAAGTGTATTTCTGTCCCTCCCCCAAGGGTAGAGCTTTTATGTCCCTGTTCTGTTCCTCCTGATACATACAATACCTCCCATGAGTTATCACCAATATCTGAGGTGAGAGTGTTTGTTCCTCCCTTCTCTGACATTGTCTTTTGTCCCAGACGGAAGTTAGGAGAGATTGGTTGGTTAGTTACAAGAGTGGCTGCTGTTACCTTCCCCTGCCAGCGCCATAAGGTAGGCTTTCTTAGGCCTACCTTATAATTTATTTTTAAAATTTAGCTAAGTCTTCCTACTCACTTAAGTGGCAATCAGGGCATCTGTCCTAGGTAATGAAATTCTCAGGTTCTGTTTCTTGCTGTGGAGAAAACTGGGTACCAGTCTGTCACCAAATTTGAGTTGGTTGATTACCCTGCAACTTAGGCTTCTAATGGATTCAATACAAGTCATTAATTCGCTGTTTGTTCAGATTTTTCTTTGTTGTGAGAGTTTAAATGGTGTTCTTTGCAGATCTCTACATTCTCAAGTTAAAATCTGCGTTTCTAAGATAAAAAACAGAGTGCCTTTGAGAGTGTTTGTTTTCCAGCTTCCAGTTATCATTGACTTGAGGAACCCAACTTTGAAGCCTAGGCATTGGACAGCTATTGAACAAACAGTTGATGCCACCTTAGTGGACCTTGAAAATCCATTAACCTTAGAGACACTCTCTGAGTTGCATGTTTTCAACTTTGGGCAAGAAATCCAGGACATTTCTGGACAGGCTTCTGGAGAAGCTGCCTTAGAAACAATTCTTAAAAAGGTAACTATGAAATATCAGGTAATGTAAAGGTTTTCATATCACCAACTTTTGGTTTATCTGGATAGATTTTTCAACAGTGCAGCTTTCACCCTCTTATTATCAGTCATCCTTCAGTTGTTTCCTTATATTTGTTATCATTATTATTGTTATCACCATTATAAATAATCTTCTTTCCACTTAGCTTTTAACCCAACATAAACTTGATGGCAACAGAGTTTGCAATTTGCATGCTTATATAAAGAACCACTTACCAAATAATATATTTTATGTCAAAATACATTATCTTTCAAACTACCAGTAAAGACTATGTGAAATGCTTCAAAAGATGTTTAGAAGATTTCTCTACTTAGTATACTTACGTCTGTACCCTAAAAATTCACACATACATACCAATCACCTGAGTCAAAAGAATTTTTTCCTTTTAATTAAAGCACAAAATGATAGGAGAAATACACATTAAAGTATCACAAGTCATTCATATGTGTTAACATCAGTCAATAAAATTAAGCAAATCAGTATCCTTTAGCTGAGAAAGGAATTTAAGAGTTTAAAAAAGCTGGAAAGGAGGAGAATTGGATTATTCCAGAGTTTTCACTTATTTCATTTCACATGCATTTATTAAGTACCTAAACACAAATGAACTTAGATATGGACTTGAATTATTTCTAAGGTGGAGGATTCCTGGAAAACAACTGAATTTGTGGTTCTGCCCCACCGTGACACCAAAGATGTATTTATCCTAGGCGGCACAGACGACATACAGGTGGGTAACTGGGTTATTGAAAACGTATGGTGAAGGTTCTGACCAGACCTAGTCCTAAATCTTTTATGGGAGATTATGATGAGAAATGAACTATGAGAGTAACTAACTAAGAACAACTTCACTGGGAAAGCAAAGTATGAATATGAATAATTGACGTGAATGCTTGTACATGAGAACTATTTAGCAAAGCAATAAAAATGACGTATATATGTAAGAGTTGTAATCCTGTAACTGTTGAGGAATTTAGAAAAACAGAGGTTGTTTGTGGCTGAAGTAATCAGAGAATCCTTCCTTGACCAGCTAAGACACTCTGGGCCTTAAAGGATAAATAAGATTTGATAGACATAGATGAGAATGAAGGGCATTTCAGACCATTTAAATGAGGCAAAGAAACATGAATGAGTATTTCAGGTTTATATGTACACACTTTAAGAAGCTAAACTCACTTGAATTTTTTGAGATTAGGAGTAGATGACAGGCTCTCTAAACAACAACAAAAAAGATAAATCTAACTCGTGTGTTTGGAATATTCTTCGTGACTTAAAATCCAAAGACACATTTGTTTAGCAAAGGGATATGGGTCTTATGGCTCCAAAAAGCAAAACCCTGATCTGTTAGGGTGCACCCAGGCCAGGACTGGAGATGAAATGGCTTTGCCAGGTATAGGCCAGCAGAGCAAAGCCAGATGTCACTCTGGGCAGTGGATCGGAGAGCAGAGCCCAGATGAAAGTCAGAATAAGGCCAAGTGATGCTAGGTGATGGGGCTTCTGCCCTCAGGAAGTTTGTTATTTAAACAGAGCAATTGAAATCCTTGAGATTAACAGACACATTTTTAAAAATGCGTGTGTTCTGTGACGGTTGCTATAGTGCAAGGGGGAGGAGGGGGGTGGAGGTAGAGGGAAAGCCATCTGTAATCATTCAGAGCTTGATATGAAATGAGTTCAGTTTTCCTCTTCCTACAGGTAATTGAGGGAAAGTGCTGTTTCATTGGCTAGAAAAGACAGCTAATGTTGCTGTCTTTTGCTAGTTTTGAGTACTTTGAGAAATAAAGGCCTGGGTGACCAAATAGTGTAAAGAAGGTACCAGATATTTTAAAGTAGAGAGAGAGAGAGAGAGAGAGGAGAGTGTTGAACCAAATAAAAACTCATGCCATTAGTAATTACAGAAACGGCCAAGATTTGGCAGTCAGACATCCCTTTGTGACATTCGAGAAAATGTGATACTGGGTTGGAAGCCGTAGAAGCTGTTGTGAATGAGATGTGGATGGGGGGGAACCGGAGGTGGGGCTAAACGCTTCACTCAAGAAGTTGGATTTTAAATGGACTCTTGGGATTAAATATCTGTAATTATCTTTGAGAGCACAAGCCCCTGATGTTACATCATTTTCGTCTTTCTTTAAAGGTCCTTCTTGATGACAGCACCATCAATGTCGCCACCATCGCCTCGTCACGTTATGTTGGTCCGCTGAAGACTCGAGTGGATGACTGGCAGAAACAACTTGCTTTGTTTAATCAAACACTGGTGAGTAAGGATAAGTTCAGTTCAGGGGTTCAGAGAACTGGAGAGCCACTGGACCTTAGAAATCATTTGCTCAATCACTCAAATATTATATAGTTTAGATGTAATATTTAATTGATGGTATCTTATGTTCAGAATGTAAGGAAAAGGCAAATATATTGAGCTATTTTCTGCAAGATTGTCCCATCACCCTTATATTGGTCATTATTGCTGCGAAACAAAATACCACAAACTTTGTGGCATAAAATAATATACGTTTATTATCCCGCAGTTTCTGTGGGTCAGTAGTTCAGGTGTGGCTTACCTGGGTCTCCTACTTTGGGTCTCACAAGGGTTCAGTAAAGATGGGGTGCAGGACTGGGTTCTTATCAGAGATTTAACTAAAGAGGGATCCACTTTCAAGCTCACTCAGGTTGCTGGCAGAAATTATTTCCTTGCGACTCTGATTAAGGCTTCAGTTTCTTCTTAGCTGTTTCCTGGAGGCCATCCTCAGCTCCTACTGTTGCCCACGGTTTTTTCCCATGTGGACTTCCCCCAACGTGACAACACACTTCATCAATCTAGCAAGGAAGAGAAAGACTTCCAGCAGGGCGAATGTACACATAGTTGTGTACAGCCTGTGACCTTTGCCGTGTTCTCTACATGGCTGTAAGCAAGCACCTGACACTCAAGGGGAGAGGGTCACCCAAGGGTGTGAACAGCAGATCCTGGGGGCCACCTTAAGAGTCTGGCCACAGCAACCTCATAGTTGTAGAAAAATACTCGCTGTTGCTTGAAGGTTCCTTGGCACCTTTCCTTCTGGCGCACACACCTTTTAATTTTATTCTACTTCCAGTTACCCCAGAGCAAAGCAGAGAACTCACTCACACTGATCTCACTTTGTTCCCATCCAGTCACTTTCTTAGACTTCAGCTTTTTTGCTTGATTTAGTTATGTTTAGGTTTCTAGATACGTCTTCTAATATGAAGAGCTGTCTGTGAACTAACAAGGATGCTAGTAGGAAGAAACTATTTGTTTCAACTTTGTTTCATAGAGATCTTTTTCAGGAGTCCATCTCTTCAATGAACACTTTATAATCTGACCCCCGTCAAGCCTTCTGTACTGATGGCTGAGCCCTATGAAGGGAGGGACTGTAGATCAAAGTAAAGGACATGTTTCCATAGAGCATCCTTGGAAGAACCCAGTGCTGACTATTGGGGACCCTCCAGAGAATAGAAAGTGTGAGACCTGAGATAAACCAGGGGAGTGTTTTTGACATTAGTGCTTATGTGTGACCCCCGAATCTAGAGTAAGAAGTGAGAAACTCTTTCATGGATCTTGGGCAGGAGGCACAGAGAAGGGTGAGGTCTGTAGACTTCAGTTCTGACGCTGCATTTCTGGTTTCCCTGATTAGCAGTGATTGTCTCTAAGAGGAGAAGCAGTGAGTAAGGCCCTTCCTCCTCCCATTCGCCTGTATTTGCCACATGTTCTGTCACTAGCAGGCTTGACTTTTTTGATTGAAGAAAATGAATCATACTTCTTTTTTTAAAAGGGGGGGAGGGAAGAATAGACACGTAATTGAAAAAAATTTTTTTGATAACCCTTTCTATATAGGGTTAGGCAAAAGTAGGTTTACAATTGTTCACATGGAAAATAATACAATAAATAATAAATAATAATACAAGAATAAACCGTGTTTCGCATACTCACAATGGTAGGCCTACTTTTGCCATACCCCGTATTAGGAAATAGTCACTAACCTTCTCACTTCCCATCCCTTCAGATTTCTTTTAAATAAGCATCTTGCCACCACTCCCCACCCCACCCCCAAATGTCTCCTCTGGGCATTTTAATCTTCTTTCTCTGGCTCCATCCTGATTACCACACAATAGACTCATTAGAACTCTATTCAGTAGAAAATGGCTTGAAATTAGGCTCAGGCAGCCTTGGACCCTTTACGGAGGTTTCATTTCAGCAGACCTGCAAGAAGCCCCCAAAAGGAAAAACAGCAAATCTCCACACAGTTATTTTCAGTGTACTCAATGTTTTCCATGTGGCTTTAAAATTTGACAATGTCCCTATTTTCCTCCCAGGAAGAATGGCTGAACTGCCAGAGAAACTGGCTCTACCTGGAAAGTATTTTTAATGCTCCAGATATTCAGAGGCAGTTGCCTGCAGAGGCCAAGATGTTCCTCCAGGTGGATAAGTCGTGGAAAGAGATCATGAGGAAGGTGAACCGGCTGCCTAACGCTCTTCGAGCGGCCACTCAACCAGGTATAAAACAAAAACTTAAAAACAAACGAAAGACTTTAACAATCATCTGAAACGTTTATCACTTGGAAGAGACTAATAATAAGTGGTGCACTCAACCCTTAACTCTAGTCAGCACTGGTGACCGGAGGTAGTTGTAGCACATTTGACGCTCTTGCGGTGTGGATCGAACTGCTATTATTCCGCTGCTTGCCCTCTATAATTTGGGGAGGCCGCCGCAGTGTCGGTCATGCTTCCATTTCACAATTTTGACTACAAGACATAACAGTTACCTCCCACTGGCCCATTCTGCTAAAGCTCTCACAAACTTGTAACCATAAAAATTTCCATACCTTATTTTTTTTGAATCTTCACCAGAAGATATGTTCCTATTATTTCAGAGAGAGAGGGAGAAAGAGGAACATCTATGTGACAAAGAAACATCCACTGATTGCCTTCCGTACACACCCCAACCAGGGATCAAACCCAAAACCTAGGCATGCGCCCTGACCAGGAATCGAACCCATGACCTTTCATTGTACAGGACAACACTCCAGCCAACTGAGCCACACCAGCCAGAGCTCAGTACCTTACTTTTAAACAACTCATTAAAATCAGTTAAAAATATTGCCACCAATTGCAATTCTAATCTCAATGCTGACATGTGTTTTAATAAGTTCCATTTCTAGGGATGTGGCATCAAACTCTTTGCAGCACATACATGGTTATTGAACTTGATGATTTGGAGCCAAGCCTCAGCAAGTCTGCTTGCTCCAAAAATGGCAACACATAACCTGTCCCGGTAAATACCCCCAGATAACTGCCGTGCCAAGCAGAGGGAGCCTGCTGGACTATCTTTTTTGACCAAAGACTCTTCCATAAAACAGAAACAGAAAGGAAAAAGCTTTATGGCAGGATAGAATTAAAAATTTTAAAACTTTGGGGCTTCTAGAGGCTGCCCACATTCCTTGCCTTCTGGTTCCCTTCGAGTCAGGAATTGCATCACTCCATCCTCTGCTTTTGTCATCATAGCTCCTTCTCTGCCTTTGACCATCCTGCCTTCCCTCTTATAAAGACCCTGTGATCACATTGGGTCTATGGGATGATCTACGATAATCTCCCCATCCCACGATCCTTAACTTAATCACAGCTGCCAGGTTGCTTTTTCCATATCAATTAGCATATTCTCAGGTTCTGGGGATTGGGACATGGACATCCCTGAGAGACCTTAGTTCTGCTTACCACATCCACTTAATGTGCATATTCAAATCTTTTGCTGCAAAAATATTAATGCGTTTGATTACAGAGTGCTGCCCCAGTCCCTACTGGATTTATTATATAACTTTTGAAATAAAATCTGATTCCAAAATATAACTAGACCTAGGAATTTCAGATAAAGAAGTGTGGACCTGTATATATTATTTCAGGTGATGATAAAGCTATGAAGAAAAATTAAGCAAGGTAAAGGGGCTAGAGTAGCCGTGTGTGTGTGTGTGTGTGTGTGTGTGTGTGTGTGTGTGTGTGTCTGAGAGAGAGAGAGAGAAAGGGAAAGAGGGAGGGAGGGAGGGAAAAGGGGGAGGCCTTTTTGATCAAATGGTTTTTGAGCAGAAACCTGTAGAAACGAGGGAATGAGACATGTATGCATGCCTGAGGAGTATTGTTAAAGGCAGAGAGATGAACAAGGGTACTTAGATGCACAGTTGTTAGAAAGGAAGCCACTGTGGGTTGGAATCATGTGCACAAGAAGGGCTTAGGAGGTGAGTCCAGAGAGGTGAGCTTGGGTGGAGGGGCTTGGGCGTTAGATTGGGTCATTGGTCACATCCTTTGGGACGATGGAAAACACTGGGTTTGATTCTTGAATGGGCAGGTAAGCCAAGGACTGTGATAGGCACCAAAACTTCAAAGTTAAGTAAGACATGAATCTTGCTCCTTAAGGTGCTAGAGTTTAGTGATAAAGAAGTAGGATCCCGTTGCCATAATTTCAGCATCTAAAGATGGCAGAGGAAACAGAAGACATGAGGAAGAAAGTTCAGAGAATGGCTTTGTTTGGAGGGTCAAGAAGACAACTGTTTGGCTCTGGTTTGTGCACGCTCAGCCCCTCAAAAGGGAGGGATGCCAGCTAAAAATGTTTCAAATTAAATTCTGTTCAACTATGGTAAATGTTAAGATTAAGATTAATTTCATTAATACTTTATCATTTTAGCCAACCCCGCAAAATTTAATTTATTAGATTGTTTTTACCAAATAAAACCAAAGCTTTAAAAATGTGATCAGCCCTAGCTGATTTGGCTCAGTGGGTAGAGCATTGGCCTTTGGACTGAAGGGTCTGGGGTTCGATTCTAGCCAAGGGCACGTACCTCGGTTGCAGGCTCTATCCCTGGCCCCAGTTGGGGCACATGCAGGAGGCAACCCATCTATGTGTCTCTCTCACATCGATGTTTCTCTCTCTCTCTCTTTGAAAAGCAATAGAAAAGAAATATCCTCAAATGAATATAAAAAACACACAACTGATCATATTTTATTTCCACTTAAAATTATATTCTCTGTTTATTGTAACACAATTTTACCAATACCTTTATTTTTCAATGAACAGGACTCTTGGAGACATTTCAAAATAATAATGCATTACTTGACCAGATTCAGAAGTGTCTAGAGGCATATTTAGAATCAAAAAGAGTTATCTTTCCCAGGTAAGTTTATAAAATAACCTATAATATTTTTTAATAGTTAAGACTATCCATTAATTTAAAAGGATATACTTAAAAACAAACTATAACCTCAAAACATCAGGGAGTCAGAGGGAAACACAAAAGATATGTGATAATGGCAGTCCAGCTAATATCTTGATTAGGGAGTGTAAATCTCAAGGTAAGGTGCCGTATTTGGTGAAGGTTTAAGTGGCTAAGTACCCAAGGTGCTGGAAGGATTATGATTGCAGCATTGCTTCACTGTTGTGTGTGTTATGTGTGTGCCCACGTGTCCTTGTGTCCACAAATGTGTATGTGAAAAGTTGGAGGGAACTGTGTTGTCTGAGCAGGTTTCTTTAGGTTAATGGGTGACCTAAGACTGTAGAAGTTGTCTAAGAGATTATTTCACAAATTCCAGTATGGAGAAGGGAAGGGAGGGGGGGGAAGGTGACAGGAAAAGCCTGACTTGGCTGGCTCCCACCTGGCCCCCTCTCTTGCCATGTGGGGCCTGTCTTGGACTCATGGGATTCTCTCGAACCCTGGGTGTCCAGATATGCACTTTCTCTGGCTCTTTTCCTAAGGTTTCTTCATGCCTCCAAATGGCCCTGTGGAATAGGTTCTGAGAAAATCACATGTATGGCCCACATGCATATATTCACAGAACCAAATAAAGTTCCTATGACCAGCCATCCATCTGGCCAACAAATTATGTGCTGACTGCCAGGTGTGTGTGAGGTACTAGGTGAGCTTCTAGGGAAAACAAGTATTATATCGTCACTGTAGAAGCTCATAGACAAGAAACACAGGCACGTGAACAAACCAGTGTGATAGCAAGAGCCTGCATTTTTTACAATTTTTATGAAAAATATTTATCTTTTATTTACCAGGCACTAATTCTAGATGTTCGAGATGCATCTGCACTAATATTCACAACAACTGTATTTAGAGACATATGGCATCCCTAGAATCCTGAGACCAGTGGGCTTGGAGGTCTAGGAAATCAGTGGATGGGGAAGAGATGTGGCTGAGGAATTTATCTTGTGTAGTCTACATAAGGCTTTGCTTCACTTTCAAGTTATATTAAGTATTATTTTAATCCAGGTTTTACTTCTTGTCAAATGATGAGCTTCTGGAGATTTTGGCCCAGACACGAAATCCTCAAGCTGTGCAGCCGCACTTAAGGAAATGCTTCGACTCCATCTCAAGGCTTGAGTTTGCTCTCATGCCTCCTGCTGAAGGAAAAATTCCTGGTGTGGATGGAGAGCCAGAAAAAGTTTATACTAATGATATTTTAGCAATGCTGTCTCCAGAGGGAGAAAGGGTAAGAGGCTTTTTGTTTCTTCATTGTTGAAAGTATTACAGGTTTCCCCCTTTTTCCCCCATTGAACCCCTTCCACCCTCACCCACCCCCCACCCCAGGCCTACCTCACTATTGTCCATGTCCGTGGGTTATACATATATGCATTTAAGTTATTGGGTTAATCTCTTCCTGCTCCCCCTTCCTTCTGAGATTTGTCAGTCTGTTCCACGCTTCCCTGTCTCTGGATCTATTTTATTCGTTAGTTTATTTCATTCATTAGATTCCACAGATGAGTGAGATCACGTGATACTTGTCTTTCTCTGACTGGCTTATTTCACTTAGCATAATACTCTTCAGGTCCCTATAGGAAAACTCTTCCAGGGTTGAAGATAGAGGCTTATTCATTGTCACTCTAGGCATCCATCAAGCACTCCTGCTACTGGGACTCTGCTGGCTCAGCGGTTTCAGGGATAACCAAGCTAAAACTCCTGCCCTCAGAGCAGTCTAGGGGAGACATAGTCAAGCAAACACTGAAAAGTAGGTCAGTAAGCGCAGTAACACAGGCACGTGCTCTGTTCTTGGGAACAGTGGAGAAAGCGAAGCCATGTCTTGCTCAACTTCACAAGAGGCACAAGAATGGATGGGTTAAGAGCACCACTTCTACAGCTGTGCCACCTGGATTCAAGTCCCAACCATAAAAGGGGGGTTAGTAATAGTGCATAATTAATGAGATGTTGAAGATTTTCAAGTGTTACTATATGTAAATTACTGAGAGCAATTCCCAATGCCTGCTCTGAAAGTGTTCTCGTTTTTGGCAGTGGTGTCTCCAGGGCACTGCACAGGGCCTGGCATACGGTGAACACCAAGCAAGTGAATGTATTAGCAGAACCAAGTGACTTCACACACAGGTGCACACACGTGCCCATACCCACAGGGACAGCCAAGGAAGAGGGAGGGGAGCCGAGGGAGGGAGAGCATTCCGTACAGAGGACCTGTGCAGGGAAATGCCAAGGGTTTCAGCCCAGTTAGAGCACAGTGCTGTCTCTATGCGAGTGAAGGAGCCTGTCAACATTTGACTTGTCCTGAATTGATCTTGCAAAAGAATTTGCTCACCCCTAGTGCAGAAGAAGAGAGAAGGGAGGACCGTGGTTAGGATCCAGGGGAAACATGAAATTTAAAGGGAGGGTAGAAGAAGGACAGATGCAGGAGATTCAGACAAGCAGTCAGGTCACTGGAAACTCAAGAGAAATATGAAAAGGACTGAAAATTGCCAGTTGAAGTTGACAGTTGGGAGAATGTCGCTAACCTTACAGACCTTGATAGGTTAGAGGAGTGCTTGGGGCCAACAATCAGATGGCAGTGAGCAGGAAAAGAAAGTGAAGGAATTTATGTAGGGCACGTAGACTTCTCTTGCAGGGAGTTGGTCCCAAAGGGAAGCAGTCAAATACAGCAATCAGTAGAGGGGGCAAAGAGAGGTACAGAGTGGGGTAGCAATAGAAAGTTCCAGGATTTTTTGGTCAGGCTTCAGCGTTTCCGTGGCCCAGCGTTCCGCTACTGAAGGACAGAGGATGGACAGCCGACAAGTCCCACATGGGCCATATTGTCGTGGCTCTGACTGTTTTCTAGGTTAGCCTGGGAAAAGGCCTCAAGGCCCGAGGCAACGTGGAGGAATGGCTCGGCAAAGTGGAAGAAGCCATGTTCTCGTCTCTGCGTCGCCTGTGCAAAGCTGCCATCGCCGACTATCAGGTGAAGCTGAGGACCGACTGGGTGATAGCTGGCCACCCTTCTCAGGTGAGTGACACTCCTTAAGTTTCCAGCTCTGACTCCCATTTCAGTGAGATGTATCACGTTCTCAAGGAAGATGTTGCCATGCAGGTGATCCTGACCATTTCTCAAGTCATTTGGTGCCGCGATTTGACTGAGTGTTTGGAAAGAGATGGGAATCGTTTAGAGGCCCTGGAAGCTTTTGAAAGAGTCAGCTTTGAGGTGAGATTTTTAACAGGGTGACATTGAACATACTGCTGGGCAAGATGGTCTCAGTGGCTTTTATTAGCATGGTTAAAAGAAGTTCCCTTTCACAAATGCAGTGCTCTGATGTGACTTACAGGGCTTTGGGGTTCTCACTAAAACCATTTATGGTCAAGTTTTCTTAGGGCCACTACCTTGGTGTTTGTGTATTATTTTATGTGAATACTTATAAAAATAGAGAAAAACAATTTAAGAGGAAAACATCAGGATTATAAATTTTGCACTGTTTAAGGAGAGATTGTATTTACTGGGTCCTGGTTGTCTCACAGTTTATTCAATCCAGGGAAACCCCAAAATTTCTGCCATGTCTCTTCTTAGGCTCAGGATATGCTTTAGAACCCTCAGGCAACTATCAATAAAATGATAAATAATGGAATGAATATAAATGCCATTCTACAAGAATTTTTAAGCTATAGTTGGGACCTGCCGTTTTATAGCTCTGCCTAATCTTTTACTCCAAATTCAGTTCTCCTTCTGAGCACCATTGCATTTTTAAAGAATCACCCTTAAAACAGGAAGAGGAGGAGCTCCTCAGTAGAATTGAAGTCCTCAATAGTATTTCATGTCAAAGAGCCCAGAGAAGAGAAAAGACTCCCTAAGAAAGTCCTGTTGACCTCTGTGTGGAGGTGGGTCCCTGATTATGATTTATGGAAAACTCAGCACAGCAGTTCAAGGCCTTCGGGACTGAAAAGTGTCAGTTGCTCTTCTTTGGAAAAGATTTAACTGTGTAGGTGAGAATCAGGAGCTCAACCTATCAAAAATGCTTTTATTTAATCAACCTTTGGCTTGCTTAAAATGCTCACATTTTCTGATTATCAAAAGAATAACTACCCCCCAAATGAGGTATATTACCTTAATCTCATTTAATTTTTAGGGAAAAACAGTCTTCTCTAGCAACAGTACCACATGGTGGTTAAGAGCATGGGCTTTTTTCCCTAGGCGAATGTCTACTTGTCTCATTCCTACCACTCCATAACTGTGTGACTGCCACTAAGTTACTCACCTTCTCTGACTCTCAGTTTCCTCTCATGGGAAATGGGGGTAGAGACAGTATGAATGTCATAGAAGTGTTGTAGGAATTAAATAAATTAAACTGTTGTCTTCTTTGGTCATAGAATCATAGATTCTTAAAATTAGATAGTTTTGGGAAATGTCGACTCCAAATTTAATATATGTAAGCTGATTTTTGAAAGTTCATTATGATAATTTCACTTTTGTAGAGATTAAATGCCCTGGCAGCACTGGTTCGAGGCCATCTTTCTAAATTACACAGAAACATCATAACTGCCTTAATTACTATTGATGTACATGCAAGAGACATTGTCACCGAACTTATTCAAGCCAAGGTACCTGTTTCATTTAAGTAAAATCATATATTACTTTCTGAAATTAGTGCATCTAATGTGCTTATCATTATTATCACTTATGTAGGTAGAAGAAGTCGAATCCTTTGACTGGCAGAGACAACTGCGCTATTATTGGTACACAGACATAGATAACTGTGTGGCTAGAATGGCGCTCTCTCAGTACACTTATGCCTATGAATATTTGGGTGCATGCCCAAGATTGGTTATTACTCCTCTCACGGTAAGTTACTGGTCACTTAGGTTAATGCTGAAATAAGAGTGCTTTATTTTATCAAAATAGTCTGGAAGTTTTGTCTAACATTAACTCTTGAAAGGATTTACTGTGAATATATCTTTGCAAAGCAGAGGTTTGCATTAATTATGTGCCTGGATCTTTGAGCATATTTCAATGACTACAAAATCTTTAAAAGGGAAGGACTTACGATTTTGTGGCTAGAGTCAGTTCCCTTCAATAATGACAATTTATCGATTTCTTTAGGATCGCTGCTATCTGTGCCTCATGGGGGCTTTGCAGCTCGACCTGGGAGGCGCACCAGCTGGTCCCGCTGGCACTGGGAAAACTGAGACTACCAAAGACCTAGCAAAAGCTCTTGCCATCCAGTGTGTGGTCTTTAATTGTTCGGATGGTTTGGACTACAAGGTACTATCCCGGCATCTGAACACAATAAACTGATGAACAAAATAGATCCAGAGACAGAGGGAAGGGGGTGGGTGGGAAGAGATTAACCAAAGAACTTATATGCATGTATGCATAACCCATGGACCCAGACAACAATGGGGTGATGGCTTGGGGCGGGGATCAGGTGCAGGGTAGAAGGGGTCAATGGGGGAAAAATAGGACATCTGCAAAACTTTCAATAATAAAGATTTTTTTAAAAATATGGTATCATATTAGTGATGGGGAACTGATTTTCTCAGAGTCTGCTGAAGATAAAACAACATAGGAACTGTTTAAACATCAGAAGGAGGAAATTAGTTTCAAACTAGGAAATAAACAATCTTACTTAGAGAAAAAAGACAATGAAATCTTCCGTTTGGAACATTCTTCAAGGTTTTTTAAAGCCCTTAAGTGTATCTATGCCATGTGTTTCTTTGAGAACCTGTCAAGTACTTACGTAGGTGAGTGAAGGTTATGAAAAAGTAGGAAAGTTGGTCAGGTTGTCATGGTATTTAAAAATAAAAATTAGCTTCAAATCATTTTAGAAAGACAAAAAGCTGTTTCCTCTCCTAGAAAGGTGCCAATTTCTGACACAGCCCAGTAGTCACATAAAGCTCTTGCTTATTTGCGCATCGCTTCTTTTTAATATTTCAGCTCAGAATTCAGTTATGTCATACAAAGTTGAATGGGATTATTTTGATTTCAGATGATGGGGCGCTTCTTTAGCGGCCTGGCGCAGTCAGGGGCCTGGTGCTGCTTTGATGAGTTTAATCGAATTGACATCGAGGTCCTGTCTGTCATCGCGCAGCAGCTCATTACCATTCGGAACGCCAAAGCCGCAAAGGTGAGGCACAGGGCAGCTGCCCGGGGGGGCAGCATCTCTTAGTGTGTAGCGAACCGACAGCCTGCTGCATTTTAGGGAGGGCAGAGCTGACTTTCGCCTGCCGATGGCACCTTTCCAGCGTAATCGGTAAGCACTACAGCAACGGGACTTCGATGGGAGAGTTAATTCCTCATTCAGGCAGCACAGAAACAAGCGTATGTCAGACACTGTGCTGGGACCTGGGGCCACGGAGTCGGTAAAACTCAGTTCCTGCTCTCGTGGAACTCTGTTCTTCTTCGCACCCCCAACATGCACATGCACACACACACACACACACACACNCTGGGGCCACGGAGTCGGTAAAACTCAGTTTCTGCTCTCGTGGAACTCTGTTCTTCTTCGCACCCCCAACATGCACATGCACATGCGCACACACACACACACACACATCCCTACTTTCTCCCTCACCTTTCTTGTTCTTGCCTTTGACATTGACTTCNCACACACACACACACACACACCCCTACTTTCTCCCTCACCTTTCTTGTTCTTGCCTTTGACATTGACTTCTCTGCTAGGTGTCTCTTAATGCTGCTTCTCCTGGGATCACCGCCTTCATAATGGCCCCCAGGCTGAGCCTAATGCTAGTGGAAGAACGGGAGAGGAGTCCTGGGGAACCTAGGGGAACTCGGCTCCCCAGAACCCACTGGACAGGAGAAGCCAAGGAGTGTGACCCATATAAGCATGTCCCAATATAAGGGGTTTATATTGGAAAGCTGATTGCAGTGCAGTATGGACCAGGTTCCCTAGCACTCTGCTGACTTTCTGAGATATGGTCATAAGATCACCAAAGGGCAGACTGACACTCAGACTGTATAAACCAGAATAGCCTTACCAGTAATTTAATACTTAAATTCCCAAGTCCCTAGAGGGTCCTCCACCACTAACTTGGCCCCTTCCTGAAGAGCCCCCGACGTCCTCAGCATCCAGCCATAGGATTCATGCTGACATAGCAAGGGGACCTCTGGATGCGGCTCTAGCTACAGGGACGGGCCATTCTCATCGGAAGGTGCCCTGCTAAAGAGTTCTTAGATATTTTGATGATCATCACTGCAAAAAAGCAAATTCTAGAACAAGTAAAAAGAAAGCAGAAATTGGAATTTAATGAGCCGCTAAATTGTACGTGTTGTTGTACTTATACATTTATTTTACCTCCACACCAAACCTTTGTGAAGTAGATGGCATTCCCCCAAGGTTACTTGCAGGTGAAAAGAAATTTAAAAATATTTCTGGGAACACTGTAGATTTAAACCTGTGTGACCCTAAACTCTGCATCCTTTCAGATACGTATTCTCCTGCCCCCCAGATCCTCTGAGGAGGCCTGTGTTGAGTGCAAGTGCCTCCACATACAGCATAACTCATATAAGTCACTATCACCTTGCTGAGCAAGGAGCTGAGAGCAAGGTATGGGGGGAAAGGCAGAAAGGGCCAAAGAGAATGGAGGGAGAATCGAAGCCTTGCCAACTGGAGAGCAACCGTGTGAGGTCACAGGAAGGTCGGAGGACATCTGAGACTATCCAGATCTCATCCTCAGTGGCCAGATGAGACCATTAGAATGAGATGTATCCCCTGGAATAGATTAAGAAACTAAAGCAAAGAAATTTGCAGGTTTCAATAACACAAAGAGCAATTTAGTGGCAGCAGTACTTGTCTCTTGTACCATCCAGCGTGTTCTGCTCCAGGATATGACACATCTCCCAGCTCCATCCCAGTCTTCCCCTGTATTATTCGTATTCTTAATGGTGCCTTCATCCAGTGGCCCAGCTGGACCTGGAAGTCATCTTGAATTTTCCCCATTACTATCAACCCCATGCCATCCATCACCAGGTCCACTTAATTTTACCCGCTAGGTGCCTGTTGTCCCCAATGATAACCCCATAATTCTGGCTCTCTGCATTTCCCAATAACATTTCCTTACTGGACGCCCTGTCCAACCTCTCCACTGCCACCTTTGACCCCATCACGCTGCTCAAAATTCTTCTCTGCTTCTCCCACCCGTAGGACAAAATCTAAATTCCTTAGTCCAGCATGCAAGATTCCTGATGCTCAGGCCTCAGCCTACCTACACTTTCCTTCTAGAACTCCACCCTTGGCCGAGCGAGTAGCTCCTCATTCCCTGGGCACGCAGTGTAGTTTCTTGTTTCTGCACCTTTTCACTGGAATAGCTGCCCCTGGTTGTCTGGGTGAAATGCCTCTCCCCATTCCTCATTTCTCCAGCAGACTTCCCCCTCCTGTGGGCTTTGCTCCCTGTGGGCTTTGTACACACCTCCACTCTAGCTTCTATTGGGGAAAACCAGAAAGTGCGGGTGGAGAGGATTAGTGGCCATTAAACCTAAGTTGAATTGAAGAAGCTCAGCAAAAGATGTTGAGGCCTAGAAGACTGCAGGACTGGACAAGGCAGGAAGAGACTAATTGGGCAAGATAGGGGCAGGGAGGCAGAGAACAGGAAACACTGAGCCCAGAAGAGATTGGGAGTGGGTAGGACAGAATCAGGAGACAAATGTCACCTGTTGTCCAACAGCAGAATTCAGATGTCTTTGCGTGATGAATGCTCTATTCCACAAATTTTAACTCCACTAGTAATCATGTGAAAGAGTTTACAGATGTTTGGAGAAGTGTTAACTTACCCTTTCTCTTTCCTTTAAACAGCTCTCTAGATTCATGTTTGAGGGGCGGGAAATAAAGCTGGTGATGACTTGTGCAGCCTTCATCACCATGAATCCTGGATACGCAGGCAGAACCGAACTGCCAGATAATTTGAAAGCCCTGTTTAGACCTTTTGCAATGATGGTTCCAAATTATGCCTTGATTGCAGAGGTGAGCTTCACATCATAAAGCAGGAACAGTTTGAGCTTGTTTCTTTTATTTACCATTTGATTCTTTTGAAGTAGAAAGTTTCTTTATGAATGCGCCCTGGCAAAGGATGTACATCATTGTTTGCTCATAAGAATAGATATGATTGTTATCACTTAAAATGTTTTGTTTCCTCTGGCTGTCTCTCTCTCTTTTCTCTCCTCTCTCTCTCTCTCTCTCTGTGTAAATGCTATATCCCTAAATGCCTAGAATGTTGTCTGGAATATAGTAGGTCCTTAAAACTGGGATGAATCAATGAGTTTAATTTGGCAGCTCATTGGAGTTTATCAGGACATCTCTAGGAATTAAAATGTCTGGATTCCTTCTAAAAATACCATATTATTCTTGCTCTTTGTGCACTATTTTGTATTAGAGTCAAGGGATGCTGAGTGGCAGCAATGCTGATCACTGTGATGGAGGGTGGGGATTGTAAGTCTGTATCAGCTTCGTGAAAAATAGTTATCATTAATTATTTGTGTTGCATTTATTCTGTGTCTATCTAGGAATCTTTCTATTTCAACTGGTTTTGGTGTCTTCATACTAACAAAGAACCAATGGAGTTTTTCTTGGCACTTTTTACAGAGGGATAATTTATATATAGTAAAGTGCACAGATCATAGGAGTACAACTCAGGGAGTTCTTACACATGGATTCCCCGTGTGACCATCAAGACCAAAGTGTAAGACATTTTCAGGACTCCAGAAGGCGGCGTGTGCTCAGCGCTGCATTTCAAGCACAGGTTACTCCTGTGGCTATTAATTCCTTTGATAACAGCTAATTTAGAATAGCCCTTTATATGAAGTAAAAGTAATTACCTAAGAATAGAATAAACCATAACAAATCCTATCATTAGAAAAATTATAGCTTTTATTAGTATAATTCGTACATCGTCTCATAGGTCCCCAAACCCCTCCTGAGGTCATGGTGGGGTGGCAGGCTCTTAAGGCAGGTGGTGTCTTCACTCTAGACCCTCTGTGGACAGGGACAATGAATGACACTCATTGTCCAAAACTGGTAGGAAAAAAACCAGGTTTAGAACTCGGTCCAACATTTTGTTCACATCTCAAGTTTCATCCTATTGTTATATTACTCAGTAATTAATTGAAGAAATTAAAAAACAGCCTACTGAGTGCTTTTCCTATTGTGGTTACAGATTGAATGAGTCAGTCTGTCATCAGTAAATGTTCTTAATCGCCTGCAGTGTGCAGAGCTCTGTGCTAATTGGTGGTAGAGCAAACCAAACAAGACACCAGTGAGAAATCTCTGTATCATCTCAAATCCCCATCCAGAGGCCAGTGGCAGTAATACAAGTAGATCATGGATTGGAGGAAGGGCCCACACCACCGCCACTGTGTTATTGATTTATTTATTAACCAAGGCTGCAAAAACTTGCCCGAGGCATGGTAGCCTCTTAGGGCAGGGGAGAGGCTGCAGATCTGCGGGTAGCTTCCCTGGACTCCTGGGAAGCCTGTACCTTCAGATGTGAGAGGCTCAGGTCTTGCTTTTGTGCTCAGGCCTTATACTATCATCCAACCTCCGTGATGGGAATATTTTCAAGCAGTGGGTTCTCCATTCTTTGAATCAAGTGTCACTAAGGCCACATTGCCCTCTATAGAAAGAAACCAGAATCAGAGCTCAGGCCTCCCCATACAATATCCCAAGCTTCCACCTTCTTGTGGCATGGAAAACCCTTTTCCTTTCAATTTTTATAATTCTTTGTGAACTGATATAACAACTTGGAGAGCTGTAACGCCTAAAGTAGATTTTTAGTACCATGGTATTATGCCAATATTTTTTTTGTCAGTATAGTATAAAAAGCATTGCATTATACTTTTTCTAGGTCATTCTGTATTCTGAAGGATTTGAATCCAGTAAAATATTAGCAAGAAAAATGACTCAGATGTATAAGCTCTGCAGCGAGCAGCTCTCTCAGCAAGATCACTATGACTTTGGCATGAGAGCTGTGAAGTCTGTGCTGGTCATGGCTGGGTAAGAAACCAAGGTGGCCAACGGTGAAACGTCAGAACATGCAATCAGCTGCGTGAAGTGGGTGATTCAGACGGTTCTTAAAGTAATATAGGAAGTGATTAATAAATGTTAGCTGTTGCTGTTGTCGTCATTCTTATCTTGACACTCCTATTCCACTGTGAGATGGGGCATCTCTCCTCCTCCCATGTCAGTTCTTCACTGTGAGCCCAACCCAGTTGCCCCAGACCGGACCTGAATCTAGACTAGGCTTTGGCTAACTTTCATTTCCTCCTGAACTTATCACATATGTTGAGTTTTAATGCACAAAAGCTTTTACGAACATAAGACCGACGACTAGACTTAAAAGGCACATGGCTTGTTATGCATGTACAACAATCAAGTCGTACATGTCACCTGAAAAAGCCTGAAACATTCAGAAAACTTCAGTTTTATCATTCTGTGTTCCATCCAGGCTTTTGTCCAAGACTTCACCTCTGTCCTTACAGTATGGGCCAGGGCGGAGCTGCTTTCTAGTTCTAGTAAAGCACGAGCCTTTTCTTTTTTCAGGCCCCAACCTCTCCCTTCATATCTTCTTGAAACTCCTGCCTCTGGAATCGCAGCTTGGCCAGAGTCTCTGAGGGACTGTCTCCTCTCTTGCCTTCCTCTCAGGCTGTGACTTGCTGGTCTGCGCTCTGCACATCCAGGGCCCCTTCAGCCTGGCTCCTGTATCCCTGGGTTTTGCACAAATATCTCTGCCCTTCTATATCCTCTGTCCTTTCTTTGAACCTCCCCAGATACAGTATTTCTCCTTTTCACAGGATCACCACTTAAGGAGAAGGAACGCTAAGGAGTTCAGATACTCTTGCACTCAAAAGACCACAGCTACAGCCCAGTGGGCGAGACAGACAAATGAGCAATCATCTAGGATACGATGTAGTGAGGGCAACCACAGGGCTGTGCCCAAGGCTTGCTGCGAGGGATGGAGGAACTTTCTAGAGGAGGGAGTCATTGGGTTGGGTTTCAAAGGGGAAGTAAGTGCCAGCAAAAGAGCAAAGTGGAGTGTTCTGGGCTGAGAGAAAAGAGTCACAGGGATGTCAGTCATCATGATGCATCCAGGGACGCATGTAAATTCAGGGAGGACTGATGTGGGAGTTTGAGAAAGTGTCCTTGCCATTCTCAAGGCTTTGTAGCCAGGACCTGAGTCCTGTGCATGCTCTGATGGAGATGGACCCTCAGGATGAAGGGAACATGCTCTTCCCCTCCCAGCAGGAACCTGCAGCGGGCGCCCCCTACAGTTTTCTGCACGTAGAACACCTGACCCATGGGTTTGGAAAATCATATTCAATACTATGTTCTCTTAATGTCATCTGAGTTATCCTTTTACATTTAGGTCTTTAAAAAGAGAGAACCCAGACCTTAGTGAAGATGTGGTGTTGATAAGAGCACTGCGAGACTCCAACCTGCCAAAGTTCCTAACAGATGACGCTGTTCTGTTCGGGTAAGTTTGTTTGTTAATGTGTTTTTTTATACCCTCACCCCAGGATATTATTTCCATTGTATTTCAGAGAGTGGAAGGGGGAAGGGGGGGAGAGAGAGAAACATTGATGTGAGAGAGACACGTTGATTGGCTGCCTCCTGCTCTTGAGCAAACCAGGGCCAGGGATTGAGCCTGCAGCTGAGGTACGTGCCCTTGGCAGGAATCGAACCCAGGACCCTTCAGTCTGCGGGCTGATGCTCTAATTACTGAGCCAAACCAGCTAGGGCTGGGTAAGTTTCTAGGTGTTACAGAGTAAAGCATAGCTGTGTGTAGAGGTAAGGGATAGTCTAATCTGCAAGCACATCTGTCTCTAACAAGGTGATGACTTTCTCATCTTGACTAGCGATCTTATTGCAGTTTTTAAAAAATGCTGATTTAAAATAAAGGCACTGCCCTAGCCGATTTTGCTCAGTGGTCAGAGCATTAGCCAGCAGACTGAAGGGTCTCAGTTCAGTTCTGGTCAAGGGCATGTACCTGTACCTGGGCTGCAGGCTGGACCCCTGGCCCTGGTCGGTGCGCGTGCGGGAGGCAACCCATGGATGTGTCTCTCTCACTTCGATGTTTCTCTCTCTGTCTCCCCTCCTCCCTTCCACTCTCTAAAAAAATCAATGAAAAAAATATCCTCAGATAAGGGTTAACAACAACAAAATAGTATAAAATAAAATAAAAGTACTAAAATTTTAGCAGCCATCCAGTTATTTGTGTGTGTGTGTGTGTGTGTGTGTGTGTGTGTGTGTTTTCCAAAATATTGATCATCAGGCTGTGTGCTATACAAATTACTATTTGGTTATAAGTTCCTGATCTAAGAAATTTCCCATCCCCCATAGAATCAGATTTGAGCTTAAGATAAATGTGATTGCTTTTATCTATGTATTTCTACTTCCATTAATTAGTTTTATGTTTATCTAAGACAGACATGTAGTAATTTTAAAAATAAAATAGTGTCATAAATTAGTCTCATGAAAAACAGTAGTTCCTTGCCCTTCACTAACTTCCCAAAGCAAACCATTTTCCCATCAATTCTTTCATTCATTTTGCTATTTCCCTTCATATTTCTAGTACCACCTTTTTGCCATTTCTTGATGTTTCAGTTTTAGATACTATCTATTACGCACATACAGCTCTTCCCTTGACCCACCCTTTCCACATATTTATATTGTAGTGCAACTTGAGCAAAATATCTAGGGTTTCAGTGCTTTATATCATAGCTATATAAACATTATCCACAGCTAAGCAATATTTCCCTTGTTATTAAATGATCTAGCTTTTTTATTTTCCCTACATTTATTATCTTCGTTCTCATTCCTTTACCTACTTTCCTATAAACCTATCATTAACTTGTCTCCTAATTCTGCCAGAATGTAGATCTCCTGAAAACAAACAAACGAGCAAACAAAACAAAAACCCCTTCAATTAACCAAAATATTCTTTTGAACTTGCCTCATTGGAGCCTCTGTCCTGCTCTAATCTGGGCTGCTTGCCCATGACCCCGGTGCACATCTGTCATCAGGGATGTCCGTTTATGGCTGTGCTGGGATTCCCTTTGCCCTTGTCTTCTATCAGTGCCCCTGTTTCCAAGAACGTGTCTGCTCCTTTTGGTGGGATACAATAATGAAAATTTCTATACATTTATCTCTGCACACTTATGATATTTCTATAATTGAGATTCCAGGAAGTAAGTTGGCTAGGTCATAGGGTAATAGGCATTTTTAATTTAGATAATCTGTCAAGATGTCCTCCAAAGACATTTTATATTTATATAAATGGCTTTATGGCAATGCCCATTTCCCTTTAAATGTTTTAAAGAGAGACCAGAAATCTTTAATGCATGCATTTCTTTAATTATTAGTATCATTTCTTATGTTCATAAGTTATGTATATTTATTATTCTAAGAGCATTGTGCTATTTTGTTCTTTTATTTACTGATTTTTGAAACTCNATTTCTTATGTTCATAAGTTATGTATATTTATTATTCTAAGAGCATTGTGCTATTTTGTTCTTTTATTTACTGATATTTGAAACTCATAAATTCTATCTGGCATAAAAACTGAAAATATTTCTCCATCATTCATTATTTTAAGTTTGTATATAAAGCCTTTTATCTCACAGAAGATTATTTTTTACTTGTTTTTATTTTATTTTTTTACTTTATCACCATTATTTACAGTTATAGAATTCTTGTCTTTCTTAGAAAGACCTTGTTACCACAGTGGCGCAAAATTCATCTCTTATATTTTCATCTAGTTCCTTTGTTGACATTTTACATTAAAATCTTTACTGTATCTCAAATGCATTTGTGTGTATAGTGTGAGGTAGGGATTTAACTTCTTTTTTACCCATAGAAACACCCCAAATTAACTGTTTTCCACAGAAAGTCAATTTTTCCTTTACTTCCTTTTTTACCTCATACTAAGTTTCTATTTTTATTTCCATCTTGTTTTTCTGAGTGTCTACATACAGGTGTAAGCACACATAAGTGCATTTGGGAAAAGTTGAGTTAGAAATAAATTAAAAATAAACTGATAGATTCACCACCTTGGCACTATGCCATGTACTATGGACAATACAGAAACATAAGAGATATTCTTTACCTCAGAAAGCTCCCAGTATACTTAAGAACATTGATTTATAGTACAATAAACAAGCAAAATCAAGCACAATATCAGAGAAATGATAGATTCTGGTATAACATGCAGGACATACTAGTACTGTGCATGTTTGGAAGAAAAGATCAGTGAAAAAAATAAGATTCATTTTAATGTTTAATCAGTTAATTGTAACAAAAATGGGGAAAACTCAGTGACCTGTGGTTCTTAATTGATTTTATTTTTGTTATTTCAGTGGAATCATATCTGACCTTTTCCCTGGAGTCCAAATTCCAGAACACGATTATGGTATATTGCAGTCAACAATTATAGATGTCATGAATGGACAAAATCTCCAGCCTGAGATGTGTATGGTTGAAAAAGTGATACAGTTCTATGAAACTATGCTAGTAAGGCATGGTGTTATGTTAGTTGGCCCAACTGGAGGTGGCAAGACCACAGTTTACCGAATACTTGCAGAAACTTTAGGGAATTTGCAGAAACTTGGAGTGGACAATCCCTTTTACCAACCAGTTAAAACATACGTTCTTAATCCTAAATCAATTACAATGGGTGAGTTATATGGCGAAGTAAATAGCATAACCTTGGAGTGGAAAGATGGTCTGATGGCATTGAGTGTCCGAGCAGCTGTGAACGACACTTCCGAAGACCATAAATGGATAATCAGTGATGGGCCAGTGGATGCCCTTTGGATTGAAAACATGAACACAGTATTGGATGATAACAAGATGCTTTGCCTGGCTAACAGCGAGAGGATTAAACTCACACCTCAGATCCACATGCTTTTCGAGGTAAATATGTTATCGGGGAAGTTGGGGCATCCCTTTTCCCATTGAGTGCTGGGGGTTGATTCCTTACAATATCTCCAGAAAAAGAATTTTCTGAAACCCATACGAGAGAAGGAGTGATTTTTATTTGCATGAAATTACATCCCTGGGTTTCCAAAGTCCCATTTCCCTTAGTCCAGTTATAGGAGTGCAGAAGCAAAGCCAGGGTCCAGAGTTTCCATGTTGCAGCTGGGTCCAGTTCACCAGTAGGCTAGTTACAGTCCATTAGTCCATTGTGTATGGGGGTCCACAGGGCTGTGGGCCAGGTGGGCAAATGCAGAGCTGCCAGGAGAGCGAGCTCCCTGCAACAAGAGTCCCAAGGGCAGAAAGAGCAACAAGAAAGGCACACTCCTTTGTTTGGGGAATTATCCCAAATTTCATAGCCTTACAGTGGCCACACCCATCCTGGCCAATGACCTGTTCCCAGGTGTCACAGACACCAAGCACCTTTGCTAGTCCCCCAGCTTTACTGGGCATGCATCTATCTTTTCTCTCTTGGACCCCTGGGGAGTATAAAGTTGTAGCTTCCTAACGAAGCTGCCCAAGTGACACCTATAATATTTGACCTTCCCTTTCCTGTTATTAATAACTAGGTTAATTACAACAGTATCAAATATATATGGCATACTCTGGAGTGAAGAAATGTTAGATTGGCATACCATCATAATTATTTTTCTCACACTGATGTATCATTTACAATAGGGCCAACCATTGTGTTTTGTTTATGTACCAAATAATTATTAAATTGTCTTTTTGTAATGTATTGTCTGTCTTGACAACCAAAGTCTCTCAAACATTCCTGTCTCTCTATAAACGGAAAATACAATAAATTCTTGGCTGCCCAGAACTTGTTCTTTTTCCTTTAAAAGTATTTAATATGTAGAGATGAATTCACATGATTTGAAATGCTTTCAGAGTTAAAAATTATTGCATGTAAAGTGAATAAATTACCCTAGTGTGCTATGAATATTTGATGGAGGGTTTGAAAGAGTAGTGTGGACCAATTACAGTGACATATGGGAGACAGTATCCCTAGTGTACTCATTCATCAAACATTGATTGAATGCCTACTGTATGCTAGGTATTAGACTAGGTGTTGGTACAAGAATGAAACAGAAAAAGAGAAAGGAAAAGGAATTTGACAGTATCCCCCTTAAGGCGTCCACAGTATCCTCCTGTACGTAAGAGGTGTTTTCACCTTACGTTTCACTTAGCGTTCCTTCCCCTTTCTGGTTACTTGCAGCCGCTCTCCCACTGTCTCCCACATAAAGCCTTTCAGCGTTAAACTTTGAACATGTGATTCACTAACATTGAAGGTGCAGTAATAAGGAAATATCATATTAGCTGTTTTGTGTTTGACTTTCATTTTAGGTGCAAGACCTAAAGGTTGCCTCTCCTGCTACAGTCAGTCGGTGTGGGATGGTGTTTGTGGATCCTGAGGAGCTGAAATGGATGCCTTACGTTAAAACCTGGATGAAGGGTATTTCTAAAAAAGTAAGTGCAACCAGAGACTCCCCAGTGTCTCAGTGTATCAAGGCTCACACTTCCCTTGAGTGACCACATTGCAGTAACATAAGGCTTCATTGGGCTTGATTGAGGGGATTCTCTGGGGATGTGTANTCATTGGACTTGATTGAGGGGATTCTCCGGGGATGTGTATCTACTCCCCAAATCTGCCCTCATGATTTATTACCTCCGCCTGCCAGTCTGCCTTGTCACTCTGGTTCCTGCCTACTCTGCCCGGCTTCTTCCCAGACTGGTTCCTCTCAAGGACAAACACAAACCACTTCCTTGACTCCTCCAGAACGCAGCTAGCACAGGCTGGGGCATTAAAAAAGACTACAGGAGGCCCGATGTAATGAGAGGGATCACAATGAAGAAAAAGACATTTCAGTCCAGGTACTAGCTGCCATAATTTTTAGATTTTAGGAATCCCTAACATCTCTGAGAGCCAGAGAGAGGAGAAAACCAGGTGACCTCCCACTCAGTCATAGGCTCAGGACCCCAGACAGAGTCTAACCTCAGAAGTACCATTCTGCCCCAAGCGAAGTAACTTGTAAATTGTTACTCCCAACAGCTTGTTCTGTATTAACTTCTGTATCCTCTCCATTCTAAAATAGAATTTCTCTTTCCCTTATTTAACAAGTCATCTTCGGAAGTGTTTTCCAGCATCCCGGGCGCCCCTCCAAGAAAAAAGCCACCTTCTTCCTGCCTTTCCCTGTCCAAAGATGAATTAGATAACTTGTTTCCCTCATTCTTGGGCATCAGCATCTTATCACTATCGTGATCCAGTCTCAGAGTTCTGATTAAAGAAAGTACTTGGCAGAATTGAGAATTTATCATGGCCACTCCCATAAGATTTTAAACCTTCCCAAATTTACTTTTTTTTAATTAATAGACTTCATTACTTACAACAGTTTTAGGTTTACAGAAAATGTTAACAGAGTACAGAGAGTTCTCTCATTCTCTCTTCCCCAAACATAGTTTCTATTGTTACTAACATGTTGCATTGCTGTGGCACATCTCTTAAAATTGATGAATCAATATCATCAATAATACATCATTGATATTGGTATATTGTTGATATATTATTAGCGTATCAATATTGATACATTGATGATATATTATCAATAATGATGCATTGATACATAAACTAAAGTCCATTGTTTGCATTAGGGATTATTCTTTGCATTGTACAATTCTGTGGGTTTCACAAACACATAATGTCATGTATCCACTGCTGTAGTATCACACAGAAGTTTCATGGCCTTAAAAATCTGTGTTCCATCTCTTCATCTGTCCGCTCTCCCTCAACACCCACCCACCACTGAGCTCTCACTGTCTCCGTAGCTTTGTCTTTTCCAAAATATCATGTAGCCCGGCCGGGCGTGGCTCAGCGGTTAAGTGTCGACCTAGGATCCAGGCGATCAGGGTTCGATTCCCGGTCAGGGCACATGCCCAGGTTGCGGGCTGCAGCCAATCAATGAATCTCTCATCATTGATGTTTCTGTCTCTCTCTCTCCCTCTCCTTTCCTCTCTCTGAAATCAATAAAGATATATTTAAAATATATATCATGTAGTTGGAATCACACAGTGGGTAGCTTTTTCAGCTGGCTTTTTCATTTAGTAATATGCACTTAAGGTTCCTCCGTGCCCTTCTGTGGCTTGACAGTTCTTTTCNTCTCTCCCTCTCCTTTCCTCTCTCTGAAATCAATAAAGATATATTTAAAATATATATATATCATGTAGTTGGAATCACACAGTGGGTAGCTTTATCAGCTGGCTTTTTCATTTAGTAATATGCACTTAAGGTTCCTCTGTGCCCTTCTGTGGCTTGACAGTTCTTTTCTTTCTATCATGGAATAATATTTCCTTGTGTAGATTCACCAAGTTTATTCACTCACCTACGAAGGACAGTTCAATTGCTGCCAAGTTCTGGCAATTACGAATGACTGTAATTTACACTGGCATACAAAAGAGTTGTTAAGAGAGTGGATCCTAAGAGCTCTTATGTTCTTTTTTACTGTATTTATGTGAAATGATGGATGTTAACTGTTTTGTGGTAATCATTTCACCTTGAACAACACAGGTTTGAACTGTGCAGGTCCTTTTAATACATGGATTTTTATCAATAAATGCAGTCAACTTCTTGTATCCATGGGTTTTGCATCTGGGGAATTCAACCAAATGCAGACCAGCAACCGTATTTTCCCATTCCCAACCATAGATTCCCAACCACTGATTGAAAATCCTGGTTTTGACCCACAGTTGGTTGGATTTGAGGTTGAATTTCAGCTGCGTGGGCGTTCGCACCCCACCCCCCATGTTATTCAAGGGTCACCTGTATGTTTAAATCAAACCACAATGCTGTACACCTTAAACTAGCACAGCGATGTATGTCAATTATTCTTTAATAAAACTGGAAAAAAATTCCTATAGATGTCCATGTTCAGGCTTTTGTGTGGACTTAGTTTTCAGCTCATTTGGGTAAACATATAGGAGTGTGATTGCTGGATCATATGGTAAAACTGTGCTCAGTGTTGTAAAAAACTGCCAGGCTGTCTCTCGAAGTGGCTGTGCCATTTCACATTCCCACCAGCAGTCCCCGAGAGTTCCTGTTTGCTCCACAGCCTCACCAGTGCGTGGGGGTATTGGTGTTTAGTAGATACTCTTCATTGTTTTCTTTTATGGTTCTACCTTTTCCATGTTCCTAATTGTGAGAGATATCAACATAGAAGACTGCGTGAAATACATATTGGCAATTTAACAAATGAGTATAAAATAAACACCTGTGTACCCATTACTAGGTCAAGATGTCAGACATTATCAGCTGCCCAGAATCTTCCCAGGTGTCCCAAGTCATAGGAGGTTTTTAAAATTTTTATTTATTTTATATCTTTAATATTTATACCCTTTAGTCTAAAAGTCACAAAATATATTACAATATAAAGATGTAAACCAACTCATTTTCTAAACTTAATTACATATTTCATCTGGTCTTGCTAAAGTATTCTTTGTTTGCNTACCCATTACTAGGTCAAGATGTCAGACATTATCAGCTGCCCAGAATCTTCCCATGTGTCCCAAGTCATAGGAGGTTTTTAAAATTTTTATTTATTTTATATCTTTAATATTTATACCTTTTAATCTAAAAGTCACAAAATATATTACAATATAAAGATGTAAACCAACCCATTTTCTAAACTTAATTACATATTTCATCTGGTCTTGCTAAAGTATTATTTGTTTGTTTTATTTTCAGCTGAACGAGGAAACCCAAGAATTTATATTGAACCTTTTCCAGCGTTATGTTGATGATGGTTTACATTTTATCAATAAAAAATGCAGCCAAGGGATGCCACAAGTGGACATTAGCAAAGTGACTACACTCTGCTGCTTATTGGAATCTTTGATAATTGGGAAAGATGCAATTAATTTCACAATGGTATAACAGGTTTTATTACTGCTATAAAGCTAAAAGAATGAGATTATTGTATAGCTCCTTTGCAAATAAATGACTCCGAATTTTCTGTAATATCAATTTTCAAGTTAACTTTTCAGGGGACTAATGAATGTGAATAAATTAATAGAATCTAAAAGTTGAATGCTAGAAAGCCTATAATTTACTCTTATATTCAATGTTTAAATTCCCGTACAGTTTAAAACGTATTTGTAATATGTGTCTGTCAGCAGCTGCTTAAATACCTTCATGCAGGAATATATAGAGTTATGATGGTCAGTTGAAAAACAACCTCAAGAGGTTTTTTTGGACACTCTTTGCCACTCACTTTCTCATCAGAGTATTTAACTTTGTACTACTTTAAAACATTGCTTTGTGAACCATTAAATGAAGTATAGGAAACCTACACTGTGCCCTTTTAAAAATGTATGAATCTGCACACACAGAAACCCACAACAGTCTTTTGATTTTGCAATTTAGGATTCTTTTTATGTTAATCTGAAATATTAAAATTTTTTCTCTTTGCTCTTTCAGGAACAATCAAAACTGAACACAATACTGTGTCAGACTTTTATATTCTGTTATTTATGGTCTTTGGGTGGAAATCTAACTGAAAACTACTGGGATTCTTTTGATACATTTATTAGAACACAAGTCGATGACAATCCTGATGCCAGGGTAAGGTCCAAATAAATTTAATTTTAACATATTAGTTCTAAATCATTAAAGCTGAACTTCAAGACTAAAACCTTAAAAGCCTTAGTTCTACTGCAAATATAAATTCACTAAAAGAGTTTCTAAAATCACTCACTTTTCTTAACCATAGATAACAGTTATTGTTGCAAATTTTTTAGGAGTCTTCTGGCCATATGAAGAAATTAAGGTATAAAACTATTTAAAAATCCATACTATAAATGAATATTGAATTCCAGTCAGTAAACTTATGCTTCACAGTGTTGTGGTCTTGCAATTGTGAACTACTTTGTGTACCTTCTAAGACTGAGCTAATGAATAAATATACTGAGGATATGGCAACAGGCTTCTCACTGTTAGAGAAGGGATTTGCAGGTATGGGAAAGGAAAGATTAGAATGCACCCTGTGTTACTGGATTACAGTCGGAGATATTGGTACTCATGGATTCCATACGTTTGCATTTGTACAAACATAAATTTCGTAATTCTGTGTGCTAAGGGGACCTAGAAGCAATGACATCTCAATAGCAATGAGCACAACCCAGTATGCTGATTCCTAACTACCGTTCTCCACAAAAGGGACCTAAGGCTCCTTAGTGAAAACAGCAGCTTATTCCAGAACTGGGGCAGGGAAAGTGCAAAGCGAGACTGGAACATCTTATGTCAGATACTAAAAACAGACTCAAAGAATGATGGATGGGACGTGTCAAAAGAGCACGGGAGCCAGTTTGAAGGGGCTCCCACTGGCCAAATCTGGGCAGATTTGAGCATCAAAATAAACAATGATAGTATGGGATTACAAGCCTTTGAATGAACTTGAAACCTGAGAGTCCACACTGATAATAAAAATGTACCTGAAGAAATAAATCCATGGGGGAGAAGGAAGAGCTCTTCGTTATGGTAGAATACCAACCAATCTGTAGAAGAGAAAATCCGGACTCAGAAAGTCATTACTTTGCAAATATTGTGGTAATAATTGGGTTAGGCAAGAATTATCAATATATACTAAAACTAGTGGGTGAAGCTTTGATAAGAAAAATACATAGTTTCAAAGTATCTCGTACAAATCATTGCTTAATTGGAAAGAAAAATAGTATCATTGCAATAAAAAGCCTTGTAGATACCACCTAAGTAAGTGATCCATTTAATATCATCAATATTAGGACAGACTTATGCCTCCTGACATGGTACACTGAGACGGATACAATCTTGCTTCTGCGGTATTTCTTCCAAAATGCACAACCTGAATCTGTTGATGAGAATTATATCTGGAATACCCAAACAGATAAACAGTCTATAAAATAAACTGCTCTGTGCTCTTCAAAAATGTCTGACATGGGAGACAAAGAAAACTGGGGGACTTTTCCAGATAAAAAAAAAACACTAAAGCGATATAACTAAATGTAGTACATTATCTTGGATTGGATCCTAGACTTGATAAAATATAGCCATAACTGACATTATTAAAACTATTGGCAGTATTTCATATAGACATATGAAAGGTTAAAACCACAATGAGATATCACCTCACACCTGTCAGAATGGTTCCCATCAACAAACAAGTGTGTTGGCAAGGATGTGGAGAAAAGGGAACCCTCGTGCACTGTTGGTGGAAAAGCAGATTAGTGGGGAACTATTTTATACATGGTAGCCAGGAAAGCTTTGCTAATAAGGTCGTATTTGTACAGAGTTCTGAAAAAAGTCAAAGAGCTAGTGATTATTTAGGGGGAAAGCATTCCAGTTGGTAGGAGAAACAACTCCAAAGGCCTTTACTTGGTAAGTACTGCTTGGCAATTTTGAGAAACAGCAAGGAGGTTGGTGAGGTTAGAACGGAATGACGACCGTGGGGGTGTGTAGAGAGAAGGTCAGAGAAACAGCAGGGAAGCAAAACATATAGGGCCTTATGGACCATTGCAAGGACTTTGGTGTTTCCCTTCAGTTGCAACGAGAAGCTGGTGATGGATTATGACCACGGGATGTTTAGCAGGACAGTGCCAGCCCCTGTCATGGCAGTGGTAATGCTACTTGGATAACAGGAGGGAGTCCAGATAAGAAGGTGGAAACCTCCTTCGGTCTGCAAGTCCCAAATAAATGGGCTGTTGGATTTGTATTCCTTGTCTCAATTAATGGCCATACAGCCTTCCAGTACTAGCCAGAACTCAGAGTCCTATAGATTTCCCTTTCTTTACTCAGCTTTCCAATCAATGAAACACTAAGTTGAGTGAATTTTTTTCTAATTATTTTTTTCTAATATGTCCTCATCACTTCATCCTTATTGCCTCTGGATAACTCAGACTCTTATCATTTCTTTTCTAGGTTGTTAAAATAGCCAATTTATTATTCCCTTGCCTTTGGTTCTCCAATCTAACTCACCTCTGTGCCAGTGTCCTTTAAAATTACAGGTTACATACAATATATTAATTGATCTTGAAATCAATTGAAAGAGTCACTGTTCGTTTTTAAAAAAGAAATAGCCACTATCACAACTTTTAGTCAACACTATACTGGAGATCCTAGCTAGTGCAATAGGGCAAGAAAAAGAAATAAAACATAAACTTTGGAAAGGAAGAAATAAAAATGTCCTTATTTGCCAGAAACATAAGTGAATAATAGAAATCCTAAAGAATCTACAAACAAATAATTAGAATTAACAAGTAAATTAGCAAGATCATTGGATACAAGGTCCACAGAAAGTTCAAAAAATGAAATTTTAAAGCAATATCATTTTAATAGTAACAAAATAGCAAATACTTAGGAACAAATCTAATGAAAGACTTTTATACTGTAAATTACAAAGCATTGCCAAGAGAAATTTTAAAAGATCTAAATAAATGGAGAGGTAAACTATGTTCATGGAGTAGAATATTCATTATTAAGATGGAGTTCTCTCAGGCAGTTCTGAAAATTCAATTATAAAAGACAATTCCAATTACAAAATCCCGATAGATTTTTATGGAATTTGGCAACCCTATTATAAAACTTATATGAAAATGTGAAAGACCTATAATNATTACAAAATCCCGATAGATTTTTATGGAATTTGGCAACCCTATTATAAAACTTATATGAAAATGTAAAAGACCTATAATAATCAAAAGAATCTTAAAAAAGGAAAACAAATTTGGAGGACTTAAATTACATGACTTTGAGAATTTAAGACTATAAGGCAACAATAATTAAGAAAGTGCAGTATTAGTGCAAGGGTAGACAAGTAGGCCAGAGAGATAAACTAGTGACTTAACTCAGAGGAGGCTGCAGGTGTGGCTGATACTGACAGGGAAGGGAAAGAAAGGAGCTTGCTGAGGTGCTGGACATGTCCTATATTGAGATCCAGGGAGGGTTACATTGAAATTTACATATGTAAAAACTGTTTGAACTGGATTCTTAAAATCTGATAAAATATGTTATACCTCTAAAGCTTTAAAAAAAAATNTATTGAGATCCAGGGATGGTTACATTGAAATTTACATATGTAAAAACTGTTTGAACTGGATTCTTAAAATCTGATAAAATATATTGTTATACCTCTAAAGCTTTTTTAAAAAAAAAGGTGTAAATATCACACATGCTTGTACACACATATATGTATGTACTAGGTCACCTTGTCAAACGGATTTCTTACTGAATCGCTGTCAAATAATCTTGAAACACCACTGCTCTGTACAGCTGCCGAAACACAATCTAATCTGAAATGCAATCTAATCATGTCACTCACCTACTTAGAATCCTTTACTGAACTCTTGCTCCAAACTCTACTTTAAAAAGTGAGGCTTTTCATAACCTGGCCCCTGTCTGTGTTCCCTGACTCATCTCTCACTGTGTGCAGTGCTCTCATAGTTCCCAGCACCCATGGCACTTTCCATGGCTTCAGCTTCATGACCTGTTTTCTAAACCTGACCCCTGACCCCTGCTTCCTCATCCGCACCCCATTCCTTCTTTGCCCATCTAACTCTTGTTTGTCCTTCATGTCAGAGCTGTAGCATCACCACCTATTAGAAGCCTTCTTAAATCTTCAACCAACCTGCAAATAGAGATGAGCCATCTCTCCTCTGTGGATGTACTAAAGTCCACTAGAACCTTTTTCCTCCTTGGGTAAAAAGGAATGTCCTTGTGTCTCCCATGTGAATTTCAGGGTCATTGAAGGCAGAGGCTGGGTCTCATTCACTTGACCCCAAGCACAAGCACAGTATTTGTCATAAGTAAGCCCCAGGATGTTGAATTGCATTGAAAATGCTTTACGATGCTAATATGGGGTTTTAATATAATCAATATATCAGATTTTTTTATGCATTGTGTTGCATGATTGTGTTTAAAGAATTAAACTCTGATACTAGAACAACTTTTCTACAAAAAAAAGAAATCCAAATCCATTCATGTTCTATGAATATTTCTATTGCCATGTGTCCATCCTATTGAAAGTGGTGCTTAATTTGATGTTCCAGCTTCCCAGTTCTGGCGATCTGTGGAGCATTTACATGGACTTTGACACCAAACGGCTGGACCCCTGGGAACGAATCATACCCACCTTCAAGTACAGCCGAGATGTTCCGTTTTTTGAAATGCTTGTCCCCACAGTTGACACAGTGCGCTTTGGGTACCTAATGGAAAAACTACTGGCAGTGAGGCATTCGGTATTATTTACTGGAACAACTGGAGTTGGAAAGGTAAGAAACCTTCCTCATACAAGGTCTTTCCAAAAATGAGGGTGTGGTGGACTTAGAATTGTAAGGCCCATGAATAACACATTATTTCTCAAGGAAAATCCCTTTGAATTTTGATTATTTTTTTCAGAATGTCACTATGCTGACTCTCTACTCACCTTGGAAATTACTCCAAAGTTTGCCAGTTTCTAAATAAATCCTTGGTGTCAATACTGTATAAACCAGAGGATCCTGGGGACCAGTGTTTGGTGTTTGGGGGCTTTTATGTTGCATCCTGTGGAATTTCTAGGGCTGCCACTGCACAGGTTAGGGTGGGAGCTGGCCAAGCAGTTTGTGTCCCTAGTAGACTATTGGTGAAGGCCGGTCTATTCCCTCCTGCCCATTTCCTTCTACTTCACATAGCAACGATGTTTAGAAAAGTAGAATATAGGGGAGAATGCTGATTGTTTGGTTGTCTTGATTTCCAGTGGAGTCGACATAAACAGATTCACTGTTTCCTCTAAATTATTTCTAAAAGAAGTTTGTGCCCATCCATGATTCTTGCTTTTAAATTGACTTGGATAGTAACCAAGATGTATTTTGGTTTGAAACTAAAATAAAACCTTTTTGCTGAGCTAGAGCTGATTAGAATATTTCTTTGGCTCTAATAAATATAATTCAATGGAATCTCCAGGAAGAGACAGACAGACATTTCAGTCTGGCTTTAACCTCTCTCCTTTTATCCTATTCCTTACCCATTGTACTGAATTATTACTGACAAAGACAGTTGAAAGTTATTATATTGAATGTGAAATCATTAACATTTGTTTAAATTTAAAGTCTGTTATTGCAAAAGGATTGCTAAATAAAATTCAAGAGTCAGCTGGCTATGTTCCTGTTTATCTCAATTTTTCTGCTCAAACTTCATCTGCAAGAACACAAGAGATCATTGAGTCAAAACTGGAAAGGAAAAGAAAAAATATTCTCGGTAAGAATTACCATTTGCATTTGTCTCGCACAAGTTAAGTTAATAAGTCACACAAACAGTGCATGTAATAACATTGCAATTGGATATTTCCTTTGCTTAATTTAATTGTAAAGGTGGTTTCATTAATGACATTCTCTCCTGTGCTGATGTATCTAGATAGCTTCCTGTTAACCAGCAGCTAGTTGACTTCTGTCACCATCTTCAACTCACATCTTCAGTCTCTGCTTCTCCATGGCCCTCCGCCTCTCTACTCATCTCTGCTTTCAAACCTGTATTAATGCCCCTTTATTTTAAACAAACAAAACAACCTCTTTATGCCTGAGTGCATTGAGTTCTCTGAACTCAATCGAGAATAAGCATGAAACTTTGTGTGTTTTTTATTTTTAGTGAACACTTTCAGCCAGGCTTGTGGCATCTCCCTCCCCCTCCTTATTAACTGCTTAGATAACTAGCATAACTTTCTGGTCGCTTTGTTATTTTGAGGCTGGTTCAATGTAAAGCTTCCATCCCAAACCCAAGGGAAAGCTCTTCCCCTCCTCTGTCCTAAGCTGGGCTTGTGGCTCAAGGGGCTGGAGGTGAAGAGGGGTGCTGCTGCTCTCGTACCCTTCCCTCCCGCCCTCCAGGAGGCTCTGGTGTGTTGGCATGGGAGAAGAAAGAAAGGACAAGTGTCTTCTCCTCGACATGTTTAGACGGGCCTCTGTGTGGATTGTCCCTGCTTCTCTGGCTGGCGCTAAATGACTGTGCACACTGTGTGGTGGGCTTCCAGGAGCTGGCTCTCTGAGGGGCTTCCAAAAGAGTGGTGCACAAGTCAAGCACTGGCCTCCCTATTGGAAGCTTCCCTAATGTTGAGAACCAGGGTCTCAGCTCCCTCCGTCCCCCCCTCCAGGAGCACATCCTGCAGCCTCTTGCTTCTGGGGTCCACTCGCCCAGCCCACAGCCCTCCCGAGTGGAGTCCTAGCCGGAGCTCAAGCTCCGCTGCCTTCCACATTGCCCGTCACCTAATAGGCCCTGCTCGGTCAAGCTGGGGGACCAGCTCCTTCACTGCCCCCTCTCTCTTCCATTTGTCCTGCTCAGGTAGGCACAGGGCAATGGATGCCAGTCTTTTTTGTGGGGGCCCCAAATCTTACGAACCCCTCCCTACCTCCTGTCCTGTTTCTTGGTTGCCAGGGGCTGGAGGATGGATGGGGACACTGGGTTTGGCTCAGTTACCTTGGCACTGTCAGATGCTGGATGCCAGCGTGGGCTGAGTCACCTCCTCGACTTACATGGTTTGCTTTTCTCTGATAACTCATTCTTTTCTTCCTGAAAAGTGTGTATATTGATTTTCTTTGAGTGAAATATGGCCCCGTCCAGCTCCAGTGCTGAATTTCACGTTGATGTGATCTGGATGTTGTTGAATATCTGGCCCTATCTTCCCTGTAGAGGGGGGTAAGATGGCATTTCTATGAAGAAGCCTTTGGAGTTCTGCTTCCTCTTGTGAAAAGAAAATGACCTTCCTCACCCCATGGTCAGGCAACACCATAGTTGGTGAGGGCAGTGGGAGTGGCTGGGAATGGGAAAGGTCAGGACCCGACTAGAGAGCTGGCGTCATTGTGCACCTCAGAAAGTGAGGGTGAGGGACCTTCTGACGATGTGGACATGCTGGCAGGGTCCACATTCCCCTGCAGGGGCCTGGAAGGTCTCTCCTCCTGGGTTCAGGACTCTGCTGGGGCCCACCTCACTCCTGAGAGAACTGAGCTCATTATGACCTACAGGGTGGTCCTTGAGTGCAAAGCCTTACAAAACTTTGTTTTACATTTTCCAAAGGCAAATCATAATTCTTAAATTCATTTTAATTCCCTAGGAGCACCAAGAAACAAACGTGTTGTGATTTTTGTTGACGACTTAAATATGCCCAGACTGGATCGCTATGGCTCTCAGCCTCCAATTGAATTGCTTCGGCAGTATCAAGATTTTGGTGGATTTTATGACAGAAGCAAACTCTTTTGGAAGGACATACAGGTTATTCTAAGTTTTAAATTACTTCGCATGTTTACATTTAAACAGCAAGGAAATATGGTATATTACAGCGATTTTCAACCGTTTTCATCTCATGGCACACATAAACTGATTACTGAAGTTCTGCAGCACACCAAAAAATGTTATATTTTTGCCAGCCTGACAAAAAAAATAGGCGTAATTTTGGTTGATTTACTAAAATAATAATAATAGTAATTACCTACCCTTTTTGCTCCAAAGTGACATTTTAAAAACTCAGGTGTCTATACTTGTATATAAGGATTTCTGCTACCAAGAATTAACCAGTCAGATGCAACCTTATTTTGTGAAGTGACCAATAAGATGCAATCCTATTATACGACCTATATATTTATGGTTCAAAACACCACATTCACACCAGATGGCTATTGTATTGGCTGTTGTCAATTTTTCATTTGACAACTTAAGGGAAAAGAGGTCAGTGCCCCTGATTAAAGAGTCAGGTATTGCATGTTTTAAAAATTCCTGCAGCACACTGGTTGAAAATCTCTGGTCACCATAACAAAGTAACTCAACAGAAATGTATTTCNCAGTGCCCCTGATTAAAGAGTCAGGTATTGCATGTTTTAAAAATTCCTGCGGCACACTGGTTGAAAATCTCTGGTCACCATAACAAAGTAACTCAAAGAACAGAAATGTATTTTNACAGAAATGTATTTCCTCACCATTCTAGAGGCTGAAAGTTTGAGGTCAAGATGTCATCAGGGTTGGTTTATGCTGAGGCTTCTCTCTTTGGCTTACAGATGGCTGTCTTCTCCCTCTGTCTTCTCATAATCTTCTCTGTATAACCATCTGTGTTCAAATTTCCTCCTCTTATAAGGACACTAGTCATATTGGATTAGGGCTCCATCTCATGACCTCAGTTTAAATTAATTACCTCTTTAGACAGCCTATCTCCAAATACAGTCACATTTTGAGATACTGGGCATTAGAGCTTCAATATATGATTGGCCAGGAGTAGGAAGAGAAAGACACAATTTAACCCATGACCTGTGGCTTCAGTGTTTCTTATGTGTAATTCAGTTCATCAGTCCATGTTGAGTTCTTGTCATGCTTGATTCAGGAGATTCATGGACAAGTGAGACAGCTCCCACCTCCCAGAGGGCTCAGCTTTGGAGGGTAGATGGACATGTATTTATAAGACAGGGTGATAAAAAGAGAGGCAGGAGGGAGGCAGAGCTGGGGCGTGGGTTGAGGATGAGACAAGCCTTCCCAGAGAAGGTGAGGTCAGAACATGGTTTTGCAGGCAGAGCATGGCAAAACAAGGCAAGGGAGAGTTTTGCATCTCAGAGGCAGGGCATGTGGAACACCACAGGGGTGAGGAATGTGAGCACCAGAGCAGAGGGGAATGCAGGGGTCCGCCAGGGGGCCATGGTTCCAATGCAGAGGCCATGGTTCCAATAATGAGAAATGTGGATTTATCCTCTAAGTGATGGGGAGCCTCTAAAGGAAATGTCATGGAAAGATCTCCCTGGCTACAGGGGAGGGGGGGCTAGAGAGGCGGCAAGACCAGAGGCAACTGCAGTATCACGTATTGATCTGTTGATGAAAATGTGATCGGAGGCNGAGAGGCGGCAAGACCAGAGGCAACTGCAATATCACGTATTGATCTGTTGATGAAAATGTGATCAGAGGCTCTGAGGAACCTAACCACGTATTTCCGCTAGGAGCAATTATTCAGTGCACGTTAATTCAGTGCTCCTGGTGACTTTATAGAACATGAGTATCACAAATAATGAGAATCGACTATACTTAGTATATGCTGAAAGAATATATTTTAACTTAAGATAAAAATTCTTACAATGTTTTAAGATTACATTTTTACATAGAAGTGTTTCTATAAGGCAGGTGAGTGAGCTGAGTGACCTTGAGCAATTTAACTATCCAGGGCCTTTATTTTTTTAAAAATCTAAAATATCGGGTAATAATCATGATCTCTTAGGGTTTTATGAAGATCAAGTGAGAGAATGTGTAGGAAAACGTAATGCAATGCTGTCGGAGGGTAGGTCCTCAAAAATTGTTGGTTCAGAGTCCTACCATTGGAATGGACAGATCTCATCTCTTCCTTTGCTGGGTGACCCAAGTGGATTTCTCCCCGGACAGGATGTGACGATTGTATCAGCCTGTGCACCTCCAGGCGGTGGCCGCAACCCAGTGACCCCCCGCTTCATCCGACACTTCAGCATGCTGTGTCTCCCAATGCCCTCGGAGCACAGTCTGAAACAGATTTTCCAGGTGAGTGTGGATTTAAACTGAGGCCAGAAGGGGAAAAAAAACATATTTGTTCCCAAACCCCCACCATCAAAACAGTCTGTGTTTCTGGAGAGCCCGTCTGTCCTCTCCCTGAGCAGAAACCGGGTAAACACAGGGCCTCTGGTAGCTGATGGGCATGTGCATTACCACCTTCTGCGCTTGTGGTCTCAGAGGTCACCTTAAGGAATGCAGAAAGATTGTCATCACATCTGGAACACTTGAAAGATAAATTTTTGGTGTAAAAAAAGTCTAACTTTCTATATATGTTTCTGGTTCTAGGCCATCTTAAACGGCTTCTTGAGTGACTTCACATCAGATGTCAAGCAAACTGCAACCAACATTGTCGAAGCCGCAGTTGAGATTTATAACAGAATGAGTATTGATCTTCTGCCAACACCGGCCAAGTCCCATTATGTTTTTAACTTAAGGGATTTATCCAAATGTGTGCAAGGTAGTGTACGGACCCCTCATCCTCTGACTTCACCCTCCCTTCGCTTCCAGTCACCACAAATCTCTCGGCAGAATTGTATGTACACAGTTGTGTGTGACCTGCTGGAAATCCCGTTACATGTCCCTGTTCAAGTCACCCGCTACCCCACCCCAGGCTTCCCTCACGCCGCCAACATGACCTCCCATTTCTCGCTCCCAGCCGACAACCCTTTTTGTTTCACTGAGAAAATCGAAGCAATCACACCAGACCTGCCTCATCTCCCAGGCCTCTCAGACAACCTGTGTCCGCCGCCCTTCCTGCGGTGGCTGAGCTGTCCCTGCTCCTCTCAGCCTCTCTCTCTGGCACTGAATCCCAGCCCCTCCTGTCCAGTCAAGGATTTTCTTCGTATAATTTCTGTTTCTTTTCTGCATCATCAGCGTTTCCTCTTCTACTGAATCATTCCACACAGCATGAAAACTGGCCACAGTGCTTCCTATCTTAATAAAAATCCCCTTCATGCACCACATCCCCCCACTGCTACCTCCCCATTTTCTCTTCTCTTTCTAAGAAGACCACTTAGAGTGATCTCGCCTCCCTGTCTCCCTACTTCCTCCAGTCCTGCTCTTTAGTATTCTCCATTTAAGCTTTTATCCTTGACACTGCACTGAACTACTCCTCCCTTCCTCTCTGTCTTCCCCAACCCATCGATCAGTTCTCAGTCTGAACCTTAACCTCTCTGCAATGTCAGGCACAATTCCCCCTCCCTCTCTCGAAGCCCTTTTTTCTCTGACCTACTAGGGCACACACTCTCCTGGGTTCCCTCCTCTCTCACTGGCTGCTGCTGCTCAGTCTCTCTTTTTTTTTAAAGTATGTCTTTATTGATTTCAGAGAGAAGAAGGGAGAGGGAGAGAAAAACATCAGTGATGAGAGGGTTATTGATCAGTTGCTTCCTGCTCGCCCCTTACTGGGGATCCAGCCAGGCAACCGGGGCAAGTGCCCGAACCAGGAATCAAACCAAGATCTCCTGGATCATAGGTTGATGCTCAGTTGCTGAGCCTCGGTGGCCGGGCTGCTCAGTCTCTCTTGATAGCTGTTTCTCTTCCCCCTGATCTCAAAATGTGGGGTGCCCCAGAGCTCTTACTTCAGTCCTATAGGTAATCTCAGTCAACTCTATGGTCTTAAATGCATCTGTTCAGAGATGATACTTGAATGTCTATCTCCAGCTTCCCCTCTCCTCTTAAGTGTCTGATTTTTATATCCAACTCCCTTCTCAATGACCTCACTTAGATATCTAGTTGGGGTTCTTAAACTTGGCACGTCCGAGTTCTTGCTCTGTGCCTCCTTCCCAGCCACGTGCACCCCGACCCAGATGAGGGGACTGACATTAGTTGCTCCAGCCACAACCCTTGGAACATCTTTGTTCTCATTCCTTGGTGATTCCCAGGCAATCCATCAACATCCCGGATGGCTTTACCTTCAGAACACATCCCAGATGTAACCATTGCTCACCACTCCGTCACTGCCACTCTAGCCCAAACCACGGTCATGCCTCACCAGGATTTCTAACAGTAAGATCCTCCTGTCTGTCTCTGGTCTCCTGCTTCCAGGCTGCCCATTTATCTCCCCTTCAACCCAGCTCTGCCCTGCACACGACAGTCAGAGGCTCCCAAGGCCGCTTCCCCATCACCTGCCATGGGACCGAGTTCCTGTTAGATCTGGACCCAGCAGCCTCCTGCTTCATTGCCTGCCACTTTCTTCCTGGCTCCTGTCACCTCCTCGCTGCTCCTGAAACAGGGCCTTCCCAGGGACCTCGATACCTCCCTTGGAACATCCTTACCTCAGATATCCACATGACTCACTTTTTCTGTTCAAATGTCACCTCCTCCTCTTCCCCTCTGTTTCTTCATAGCACTTACTACCTGGAATCCTATCTTTAGATATTTATCTACACACATGTTTCTGTTTATGTCTCTCCCAATAGAATGTGAGCTCCATGGGGACTGTTCAGTTCACCCAGTGCCGAGAATCATGCCTGGCACTGAATGAATGAATGAATGAATGAATGAATGAATGAATGAATGAATGAATGTCATAGAGTGTCAGAACTGAAAGAAGCCTTTTAGAATACCTAGACCAAGTCCTCACCTTATTTTGTGCACAAGGACATCAACTCTTGGTGGCTCAGTGATATTCTCTGTTCCTATCCAGTGCTGACTCCCTGTCCAGTTCTCTTATTTCTGCACCACTCAATATTTTATTCTCAACAAAGATGCAAACAAATTAAAGTGTGTAAGTATGTCTTAAATATCTATGAAGTAGCATAAATGAAAGCTATCGAGCACTTCCATGTAAAGCAATGACTAGGCTCTCCAAAACCCTGCTCCCTTTTCTTTCCTCATCAGAATCTAATTTATTAACAAACACAGATAAGATCTGCTGTATATTAAAAAGGCAGGGAATGGCCCAGCCAGCCTGGCTCAGCGGTTGAGCATCGACCTAGGATCCAGGAGATTGGGGTTCGATTCCCAGTCAGTTCACATGCCCGGGTTGTGGGCTTGATCCCCAGCAGGGGGCGTGCAGGAGGCAGCCCATCGATGACTCTCATCATTGTTGTTTCAGATCTCTCTCTCCCCCTCCCCTCCTCTCTTTGAAATCAATAAAAAACTTATTAAAAATATATAAAAAGGCAGGGAATGAACTAGGAGATAATGGCTGATGGTAGAAGCTGAAGCTTGGATTTCAGAACCCTGCCCATCCCGTTTGGCCCCCCCTATTGCTCAGTTCTCACCACAGGTTCCTTACCTTCCCAATTCCCCTTCCGATGGCTCTGCAACTCTCTTTTCCTTTTCCTGCCCCATAACGTTCCTCCCCTTCAAGAGCCCAGGACTCTTGCAGCTGGCACCTGCCATCCTTGCCACAGGATGACCCCGATAACTTGTACTCCTCTACTAAAAGTTTACCCTCCTGTGTTAGCAGCGTAGTCCTGGGATTCATGAACTAATTTTCCCTCGGAAACATTGGAGCATGGCTTTGTTTCTTTAGTGAATTGCTTGGGACTCACTCCCTGGCCCTCAGACATTGTCTAATCTAGTCATTTATTTATTTGTCATCCTTCCCCATTGTCTTTCTAGTCCTACTTTTTAGGTAATTGCTGAGCTTCAAAATTTAGGATGCATTTTATCTCCAACAATGATACATCATCATAAAGTATCAGGAAATCCCATTTTTTAATATCTTTCCCCTTGTCCTCAAATTTTATCACAATGTCCTGGAAATGCCCTTATTTCTACAAGTATTAGCTGAAAATAATTAAATATTTAACCATTTCAAGAGACATATCACACACACACACACAATGGGAGCTGCAAAAAAAAAAAAAGTAACATCCGTAGAAATCCCGTTATCCCAAAGCAGCATGAATGGTACCAGCCATGTCGTATGGTGCCTTCTGCCAGCTGTGTGTACAGATGTGCATGGTAGGGGCTCCCCCGTTCCCCTCTACACATTGTGAGAGCCCCATGTGAAGGGTCACGTGGAGAATGAACACTTCCCAGAGGACTTCTATACACCATTGCTTTTTTTGTAACTTGAAATTATTAGGACTGTTTTTGCAATTACAATTTATACAGGGTGTCCCCCCAAAAATGTATGCATGCTTTGAATGATTATTATAAAGTCAGTGTTTATTAACATACAGTTAGTTCATTTTCAAAATTTAAAAGAATCTCCAGAAATGAATAATTTTTTGTCAACGCCTGTTTTCAAACTGATGACTGTTCTGGCCCAGGCACTGCTGATAACGCGAAGCAATGGAATCACAAACGTCAAGAATCATTGCCTTCAGTATTTGTGAGCCCTCAATTCATCAACTGTTGCCGGTGTTGTACCATAAACTTTATCTTTGCTGTATCCCCATAAAAAAAAGTCTAGTGGCATTTTAGGATAAATTTTCTTTGTTCAAAGCTTAGTCCATTATTTCAAATCAGTTAAATCTGAAAAGGAGTGAAAATTAAGTGAGTTTTATCAGCTGTTAAAGTGTGTATACATTTTGGGGGACACCCTATATTACTACAAAGAGTACTCAGAATAATTTGAGTAGAAGCCAAAAGGACCAGGGGAATTTGATGAGACTTGAACACTGGGGAAGAATAAGAGAGGAAATCGATGTTTTGAAAACTGTGAAGGTTGGGGCGGGGGGGAGTTGCTTGATGAAAATATATATTTTAAATTGACACTCCTCGCTTAACGTACTACAGCTGAGTGCAATAATGAGATGAACATTGCTCACACTGTGAAGTTTGACCACTTCACATGTTCCAGGAAAGAAGCACAAAACAAGAAAAAAAAATGTTTTCAAGTAATGTGTCCCAGTTTTACTTTAAAAAAATGAGGTCACTATTAGTATATGTGTATATCCACTGGGGATGCACCCATTTCTGGTAGCGTGGGGATAAAGTTGGACCTAAGGATCTTCTGGTTCATAAAACTAATACTGTATATTCCACAAATGTAGAATTTTCCTTTTTTCCTTTTCTTAAAAACAGGTATTCTCCAGTGTGATCCAGGAACAATAAGAGAAGGAATACAGATATTTAGACTCTTTTGCCACGAATGTCAGAGAGTCTTCCATGATCGCCTGATTAATAATGAAGACAAGCACTATTTCCATGCTATTTTGACAGAAATGGCCAGTAAGT